GATCTCAGGAAAAGAAACGTTTCCTCAATGCATTACAAATGTAAAATCTCTAAAAACCGAATGTTTCAACAACAAATTACAACAATGAAATCTTTACAAATGAAGTATTTCCTCAACAATGCATTTACGATGACATATTCTGGTGCAGGTGCAACATATTACAGGCAAAAAACAAACAAACAAAAACTGAACATAACAGAAAAAGATGTAAATATTAAAATGTACACGTAATATCATATATCTTCAGCTTATGACGGGCTGAAGGGCAGCTTTTAATAATGACAAAGAGACAAATGGCAAGCAAGAACATTTAAATATTTTAGGTTAACTCTAAACTCCAAAGAGACAAGATTGTAATTTTAACAGTTATGTGAAATGGTTGCTTGGTTTGCTTCTGTTTTTTTATTTTTTATTTATAGAGCCACAATCCACAAAGATGTTTTGACTCGTTCCAGGAAAATGTTGGGAGCCATATTAAAAAAAAACCTGACTTGATTTGTGTTAGTACAGCTTGTGTATTGCTTATTTTCTGCATAAAACCACACAGAATAATTTATATCTGTAATATATGTGTTGCAGTAAATGTTTGTATGTAAGTTTGAAGATTTGCATATTTTTGGGTATTTGTAAATCATGTATGCATATGTGGATGAGTTTCTAAGTTCAGTTTGAGATGGTGTATAAAATATACTCAAACTGCAAAGTTTGAACATAAAACCTTCCATTTTCACTACTCAGGATACAACCTTCTGTCCTGTTTAGTAGAGACAAACCCTGGTTTTGTGCCCCATTAATACTCATTTGTTTAGACATAAATTTCATTCTAGAAAATGCATTTGGTTATTTGAATGCATTTGATTATTGGTTAGTAGATTCTTTATTTTTAGTGGATATTCTACATTGGAAAAATGGCTTTTTGCCATTTTACTCTATTTGTTAAGCTAAGTGGTTGCAAAAAATTAATTTATCATACATTTAAACAATTATTTTTACTTAATTTATGTTTTTTAGTTATAATAGCTTAGTGTTTTGTCACTTTTTTTCTGCAGCTAGAACAGCACAAATAAGAAGTAACACTCTTCAGCACTATGGTAACCACAAAATCCTCAGCACAACAAAAAATCTTTTAAATGTCAAACATAACTGAACATTGAACATTAACTGGTCTTTCCCTTCACTTAAAAACCCATAAAACAACACTTAAAAAAGATTTGTTTAATGCACTTTAACTTGAAAGTTAACTCGAGATGCATGAGCAGAATTGTATATCACACTGTTGCTCAGAGGGAAAACACATTAGGAGCAGTGTGCATTTGGGGAGCCCCTGAGTTGAGTTGAAAAAAAAAATGAACAAAGTTAACTTCCTTCAAGTGCTTTTGTTCCAGATAGAAACTATTTGTGGAAACAATTCATGTGAATGTTTAAAGGTGGGGTAAGCGATTTTTCAAAAACGCTTTAGAAAACTGATTCGGGCCGAGTAGCAAAACAAACTTGTAGCCAATCAGCAGTAAGGGGTGTGTCTACTCATGATGTGGAGAGCGTTCAGTGCACAGCACAGGACGGACATTAGCCGAGCGACAGAAAGATGGCGGATAAAAAAACAAAAGAGGAACAAAATGTCTGCAGAACATAAGAAGGCTTAAGGCAAGAAGTAGGACCCGTGTAAATATCGGATCAGCTTTCCAGCACTGGAGAGAACTCCAGGAGCGGAAGGCCTGCGATCGGACGCCGAGGTTGCTTTGTTTCTTCTCGATTGGTGAGTAACACCGTGTCTGCGCCGCAACAGCTAAAGTCTGTCTAGTACACTGGACGAGACAAAGCGACCGTTGAAAATAATTTGAAATTTGTGTCAGTATGTCATAAATAGAATCGTGGCCTGGGTTGCGTACGTATATGTGGGGCGGAGCTATCAAAATAGGGGCGAGACCCTTTTGGGGTAGGGGCGTGTTTGTTTTGGTGATTTCAAATGTCAACATTGGCTACCAGAAATCGCTTACCCCACCTTTAACCATCAGATCCAGGGAGCTCAGTTAACACCAGAGCCTGTTAACCATCCCGCAGCAGGCCTGTGTGTGTGTGTGTGGTAAATATAATGTGTTATATTATAAATATAATGTCACTGATAAAATGTAAGGTTTCACAGGCTTTTGCAATCCCATCTAATAGCAATCCACATCAGCTGACTCAGGAGAGAGATGTCTGCAAACACACACACTCACAAACACTCTCTCTCTTTTCCCAGGTTGAGAGGCTGTGTGTTGGACATGATTGGCTCTTACAGAAACTTACCTTTGTCTGAGTGGCTGGCGGATCTTGTTTCTGATGAAGACACACATACACTCACCTGGTTGCTCATGGGAACACTCGTAGTGTTGCACAGCTCCAAACAATGTCTGTTTGTTTCTCTTCTGATCTGGTTACCCAAGGTAACAATGACATGAAATTTTTATGAATGATATGTTTTTCTTTTGCTTCTTCTAGTAGCCACGGTTCACCACCACTGACGAGTAAACAATAGGACAGTCAGTCGATTAAAATATTGAATTGAATTAATTAAAATATGCTGACCAAGATATCGGTTAAGACATTTAAAGACATTACTGTGGAAGACGAAAGAATTGAATTGATCCAGGCCGAATTCATACAGGATGATGCAGTTTATTTTTCAATTGGAGCATCTTTTTCACTGTTTTTTTAGTGTCTTACTCCATGAGTGTCACTTTTTTATATACTGTATATATGGAAGTCAGTTTACATAAAAATATGTAATTGTGAAAATAAAGAAGTAAAAATATGTGAGATAAAATTTAAAATGAATTAAGTCACACTGTGAGCAGTAAAGTCATAATTGCAAGATATAGAGTACCGTAAGGTTGCATTGAGACATTTCCTTCAATCCTAAAACAAAACACAAACAATGCATAATTCAAAAGACTGGTAAAACAGCTGTGAAACATCAATGCAGGTCCTTCCATAGAGTGCACTTTACGGTCCTTTCATAGAGATATATAAAGTTTTGATATATGATCAGATTGTGTTATATGAAGTCACTATCACAAGATTACTACAATTATGAAACAAACTCCAATAACTATTATTATTATTATTATTATTTTATTTTACACATTAATTATGCTAAATAAAAATTAACAGCCCTAGAAAACAGTACATATTCATAGATGCCTCATATTTCACAAAATAAAATGAAGCTAATAACACCAAGGTCAAGATTTAGTCCCAGTGAGGGATGACCTATCAACTCAGTGATCTTGAGCAAATTTGATTGCACCATGCACCGAGACTGAGCATGTAAATGCACCATAATGTATTGTGCTAAGTGTTGAAGTATTCAGCATGCATCCTATACAAAGTTTAGGGGATTTTAGGTATAATACACTCAATGTGATTTGATCTGAAAGCACTTAGACAATGTTCTGTAGGAACATACTGTAGGAACACACATAAGTACATATACTTGAGGTGTGAGTTTACACAATTTCTGTATAAATTAATCTAGAATTAAAATGAAGTGTTAAATTGTATAATTATCTCAAACATCTATCGTCTCTGTCCAGACAGTGTGTGTGTGTGTGTGTTGACTTTGGGCTCCAATGCTTTTCTGTCACCACAGCAGCAGGTCAACCGGGTGTGTCATCTTACTAACTCGGGTTTCCCAGGGTGGTGAAATATGAACGGTCTGGAATCCCATTCAGACAGGCACGAGACACACCCGCACACACGTAAATACTCACATCTTCTCAACAAGTTTACTCAACATATGGCAACTCATTAAAAACTTTCTGTTTATGTTGTCTTAAAAACTGAGGATGGAAGACCAAGTTATTTTACGACCGGATGAGCATTGAGCTGCCAGGGAAGAAACTCTATACTTACGGATAGGGTGGAATTATAACAGGTTAATATTAAAAGATGGAATGTTGTCAGACCAGTTCTCTATTATTTCCCTATAAACACTGGGAGTGAGGAGACTGAAACCAGTGGGGAAAAATATTTTCCTGGTCACATACCTTTTTCAGCACACACAGACACACAGACTGTTTTAGCATAATTAATTATATAATATAATATTGCATAACACTTTTTAAATTTAAGCTTATGTATGGAATATGGTGAAAATATAATAGATATATAATAGACTAAATATAACAGGTAAGTGTTTGTTTTGTTCTAGTGTTTAATGTCAGAAGCATCTTGAAGAGTTAGATCACCCAAAATGAAAATTATATCATAATTTACTCATAAAAACAGAAAAAGAAGATATTTTGAAGAATGTTTTAACTATTTTTGTTTTAGCTGTTCCATAGAAAAAAGAAAATCATGCTAAAATTACATGAGGGTGAGTAAATTATGACACTTCTTTTTTTGGGTGAACTATTCCTTTAAAGCACAAATAGTGGAGTTAGACATTAGCATGTGGCTAAGCTAACCACACAAAAACATAGTCCACATAAATATTGGGTAAAATACTCAAGTTTTAATTACACTGAACTATTTTTTATCAATACTTGGCAGTACTGAATGAATATCACACATTTCTCTTCAAGATGATGGCCCCATCTGCCATCTTTAATGTTTTTTTTTTTCAGAGCTCGTTGCAGTGCTTTCTCGGTCTGCCTTCACAATACAATGTGATGCAGCTTTAGAATTTGACCAAAAAAAAAACAAAATCTTGTAAGTCAGCATAATTAAGTTACTTAACTTTTTCTACAGTCTTCATGTCAGAAGCATGCCAACACAACAAAACAATACAGATGGTCTCAAGGAGTAACTAAAAGTTGCTAATGTAGTTAACATTTTTCAGCAGCAAATCTGATTCTTTAGCTGTAGTTTGTATAAGTAAGTAGTTTGTAACCCATATTGATTAGCCACTATTTGGATATTGGGGGAACGTATCCTCTCAGTGTCTACTATGGTGGTTGCATCACTACTTGTGATTCACAATACACTGATTACAGCACAGTAACAAGTTATGGGTGAGCAGCTAACTTATATAATACAGTGTAAGAAGATTAAACATTCAGTTGGCGTGTTATCACACCTCTTTCCATCAGCGATATATGGTAGGTTTTTCTTCAGAACAATTAATGCTGATTCATGTCTCCATCTTTATAAGCATCTGACACCACACCTCAGGATGGCTGGGCGAGGCGGTGTGTCAGACACGAAAGAATGGGAACAGGTTTTTAAGTGTACGACTTGTTTTAAAGGAGTGGAATATGTTCAAATAAGAGGCTTGTGTTAAAGACAAAGAGGTGTGTACTTAAACCATGTAGTTATGCGTTTGTGTGAGAAAAAAATGAGAAAGAGAGAGGGAGGAGTTGTATTTAGGAGGTGTGGTGCTTAAAAATAGACCATTATTTAAGGGACGGGCGGTCATGGGATGCTTTACAAATACATGGAAAAGGAAAACAATCACACGCACAAATACTGTAAGTATAGTATGGCACGATTTCCTCATAAACATAACTGTGAATACGCTTTCTGGGCTGGGTATGAGAGATTAAACAGTTTTATTTATATGTTTAATATCTAAATACACATTTTAAAAAGACTAAAAAATACAATCAAACATTTTGCTATTTGAAGGACCATGTGATTAGTCAGTCTCTAGACTCAGAGCTGGGCACTGTTGATGAGGTCATAGGTGACCTGTGCAATGTCAAAGGCTTGATGTGAACATTGAGAGGACAGCAGAGTTTGCACTGAGGTTTTTTGGGAAGGGCTGTAGATAAAACGAGCACGTTGAGATTCCACTTCCTCATCTGCCCAGCAGGGAGCAGGCATCTCCACAGAGTATAACAATGGATACACGCTGCCCATAAAAACGCTTACAAACATCTGCTTTAACACGTTAATATCCCTCTGAAATACACAGAAACACACATTGCATGTAAATAAATAATAAATAAATGAAAATAGTACTGTGGCAATCATGTGATGTTCACAGACACACACACACACATTGTACCTTTTCAGATCTTCTCAGGTTACTCCATGATTCGGTCCATGATTTCTGTAAAATCAGGTTTAAGTTTAGTACTTTTGATAATATACACCCCATCTATAACAAGTATACCCCCAAGTACGTTATGCAGATTTTTGTCCCCAGAAGTTAATTTAACTAGACAAAAAACAAAATCTCTTTGGTTTTGCCCTCAACTGGTAAATAAATGTATAAATAAAATATATTTTTAACAATAATTTATTTTATAGTTAAATAAAAAAAATATAACATTATATTTATTATTATTATTAATCAAAATAATAATAATACAAATGTAATAATAATATAATATTTTCTGTTAAAAGTAGAGTTCAGGTACAGGGTATTAACTATACTTATTTTTATGTATAGAAACATAAATAGTGTTTACTAATGAGAACACGGCAAGTAAAAGTGTGTGTTTATTTGACCAGTCTCACCCTAAACGCATCCATCAGGTCTGGCTGATCTAGAACATCAGGGAAGGAGGCTAGAACCGAGCTGCAGATCAGATCTAGGTAGAACACAGAGCCAAGCTATTACATTCTCAGTTCCATTTATGTTTTACATTTACATTTGCTTTCTTTCCTGACTGTTTCTTACCAAAGAAATTGTATATAGTGTTGTGATGTGACAGAAACTTCAGATACGCATTAGGTACCCTTCAAGCACTAAGATAAAACTAAGAAGATTCAATGGAATGTGTGTGTGTTACCTGCATTATACATGGTGATTCTGTCCAATAAAAGAGCATCAGCAAGTATTTGCCTGTATGTTGCCAGGAGATGTAATGTGGACAGACTTCCTACTACAGTGTCTGGCAAAAGACTTATGAAACATTTAGAGAAAAAATATATATTTAGTAACAAGACCATATTTGCTTTTTCATGAATATTTATCAAAAAACTCTATGGAACCCTACAGTTGACAATAAAACTCTGAGCAACCGTTCAAAAGTTTGGGATCTTTTTAGAGAAATTAATATTTACATTCAGCAAGGAAGCATTAAATTTATCAAAATGAGAGGCATTCATAATGTTACAAAAGATTTCTATTTCAAATAAATGCTGTTCCTTTGAAGCTTCTATTCATCAAAGAATCCTGTAAAAATGTATCATGGTTATTGGTTACCACAAAAAATTAAGCAGCACAACTGTTTTCAACATTGAGAATAACATGAAATATTTTTTGAGCATCAAATCAACATATTAGAATGATTTCTGAATAAGGGACTTTTCAAAAACATTTAAAAAATCGTACTGACCCACACTTCAAAACATTAATGTATACTCTAGTCTAGTATGTAGGCACTCTTACTTCAGAAGCTCTCTGCTGCGTGTGTTTACTGATTTGTGCTTAACAACAAGTTTAGGGATCTTCCTGGACAGCAACATCTGCTGAAACACACCGGTAGGATATCCTGAGGACAGAACAGAAGACATCAGTTTGTATATATTTGTGTGTGTGTGTACAGGTTTTTCTACACTGGTGGGGACTTAAAGCTGAATACACACCAACTCATGGGGACTTGTGTCACTGTGGGGCCTAAATTGAGGTCCCCATGGGTACAAAAGCTTATAAATCAAACAGAATGAGTTTTTTTGAGATTGTAAAAATGCACAAAGTTTTCTGTGAGGGGTAGGTTTAGGTGTAGGGTTGGTAGGGCGATGGAAAATACAGTTTGTACAGTATAAAAACCATTACGCCTATGGAGAGTCCCTACAAGGATAGTGAACCAGAATGTGTGTCAGTGGCGAGCGGTGACTTTTTTAACCGGGTATGCTGAGTGATAAGATTAAGGCCCCCTCCCCCCTCCAAAGAGTAAAACACCGTGGCAGGTGTCGATTTAAAGTATGCACATTCCTACTTTATTTGTAAATGAAATTCATCTCCAATCCTTCTACAGTTTCAGGTAGTTATTCGAATGCTATAAAACAGCTGCTTTTCCGAGTAAAAACAGCCAAATAACGTAGTTACTTTATGATATGTAATATTCAGAGGGTGGGGAGATGGGGGATTCCCCCTCACTATATGTCTCTGCATCCACTGAATGATTTTGTAAATTTTATTTATTTAGTTATTTATTCATTCATTCATTCATTTTTATTCCCAGTGAATAGGAGTTAATACTCCCACCCCGGTGACACTACTCCAATAATAGACCATGCAAAATACCAAAAAAAAATAATAATAACCTTTTTAATTAAATAAATAAACAAACAAAATAATAATAATAATAATATCTTTAAAATATTGCCAAGTAACGTTGCAAACAACAATAAAATCAGAAAATGACTTTAATTGTAAGCGACACAAGTATACTGAAAATATAATTATGATGTTTGTTTTTTTTCATATGATTTAGTCGAGTTTCGGCAATCGAGATCTGGCAGCAACAGTGCATTTTTCCGCTTGGGCGAGCGCTTTGCAGACAGCTTACCTGGCGCATGAAATCACCCGCAGACCAGCAAACCACTGAGAAGAACGCGCTATAAACCTGAAGAGAAAGCTGCGGAGAATCCGCCCGCCCGGAAGCAACCGCAACTGACTTAGATTTACAGAAAATTACCGTTGTTTTTCAAATAAATAATTTTACATGCTTATTCCCAACACTTTATTAAACTTTAAGTCACATCTCAAATGACAAGGGATCGACTTATAATCATGTTTATATTAATTAGCCCGTGAACTCAATTCTCTCAGACGGCCTGGGTATGCAGCGCATTCGCAGCTTATATGGACGGAACGCCACTGCTGTGTGTGTGTGTATTTGTAAGAGAATGTTACCTCTTTTGGTAGATGTAGTATCCATATCAGTGTCTTTTTCAAATGGTGTGCCACCATGGATAGTGAGCTCTTGTGTCCTGCACACACATGCATATAGTTTGTGAGTAAGTATGTAAGGAAAAAAATATAACTGATATGCATCTATCATATTCTAATAAGTGAATTAGTTCGTACAGTAGAGCAATGGGGGCTCCACTTTCATCAAATAGTTTAAGGAACGCCCAGCCACAGCTGAGGTCTCCTCTCTCCCCTGTGGACTGAAAGAGAGCACAAACATATTTACCAAAGAACCCGTGTGCAAGAAGATTTTTGCTGGATACTGAGATCATTTTATTTACAATAGCAATTTCAAAATATGGAAGGAAACCTTGTAGATAGTTACGCCACTTTAGTCCGTTAATAAAAGGATAGTTAACCCAAAAAATGAAAATTCTCTCATCATTTACTAAATCATTTACTGCTGTTCCAAAACTATATGACTTCTTCTGTGGAACATAAAAGTAGATATTTTGAGAAATACAATGGAACTCAATGAACTCCAATGTTGTTTCTAATGTTACTCAAAATACCTTCTTTTCTGTTCCGCAGAAGAATGTAATTCTTACAAGTTTGGAACGACTCCAGCGTGAGTAAATAATTTTCATTTTTGGGTGAACTATTCCTTTAATAGAGATAATTGCGTGTGTTTATGTAAATATGTGATAGGGTAGTAGATAAGTGATCTTTTGTCTTTCTGAGGTTACGAAGGCCTTGTGTCCTCTTTGATCAGAGTTGGGTGGTACTGCCATATGATTGTTTAAATGATAAGAAATATTTTTTGCAAGAAATAGTTACTCACATTTCTTATGTAGGTCACACCCAATTCAAACAGAATTCCAAGATCAGGAGATTCAGAATCACAACGCAGGAAACAGTCTCCATCTAGTAGACAGGGCCGCATCCCAGTCATCTGAAATACACACACACACGGGAAAATACAGATTAAAAATATGAACTGTTAGATCACATAAAAGTATATACAGTGGGGTCTAAACCTCTGAGAACATTGGTGAAAATTTTGTTTAATAACTTATATTATCAGCATAACAAGTTGTGACATTTCTATAGTTCAGAATCTTACATATTTTTTATTAATTTTAAATTACAAAATTTCTTTGTTTCAAAATTTCAAAATCTTAAAACTTTCTTTATTACTAGGTTTACATTAGATTTTTATGTGGCCTTCGACTTTTGTTCATGCGTTTGCATGTGTTTAAGTGTAGCTTAGTCTTACCCGTGGAGAAAAGCTCCAGGTCTTTGGGATCTTGGAGTTGTAAGTGGCTCTGACTGTGTGAATGTTACTCAAAACCTGACAAGGAAAATATTAAAGTAAACTTAACAGGTGGAACAATGAGTGAGAGGGAAACAATGCCACCATGTACACTGCATTTGTGTCACACGACACCGGTTTACAATAAACGTTGAGAAGACAAATGGGTTTTGAATGGGCGTTAGAATTATTTTACCATTTACAATGACTTAAGTGACTCATTCAGAAACATCAAAGAAAAGATTAACTGTGCACAATGAACGTTGGACATTACACAATAATACTCCACTTATCATGCATAAACATGCACTGAAACATTTCTTGGTTCTCTCCCAAATATTTAAAATTACTGAAAATAAGTAATCAAACAGAATTCACATCCACAGTGCGCAGAAAAAAAATCCAGAGTTGTGAAAGACAAATAATGTACAGATACCAAGTAATGATTAAACTCTTAACACTCAAGACTAAAATATGCCGTAGTATTTTACACTCATGCTTTTGGATTGCAACTGTATTAATTCAAGCACCCCAGTTGTTAATCTCATTATGCTTTGTTATTTGTTTTAGGTTGGTTCCACCCTGATTACTGTACGCAAATCTCTCTCTTTTAAGATCATAAAGGGGCAATCATTCCGGTTGTAGGTGCAGCAGTGTGTGTATGTGTGTGTTACCTGGGATCCGTTAAATGCACAGAGCCGAACGTGCCTGCTGAGCACCTGTAACCCGACCCCGGGGGGTGGGATCATTCGACAGCTCCACAGGGTCAGGGTTAAACTCACTCTTGATGGGCGTCCGTGAACTTTGACAAATATACACATACACATTCTTTCTTTCTATATATGTTGCGGGTCAAAAGTTTGGAATAATTACGATTTCTCTTATGCTCACCAAGGCTGGATTTATTTGATAGACTAAAAATTGGGAAATTGTGAAATATTATTACAATTTAAAATAACCATTTTCTATTTCAATAACTTTTAAAATGTAATTTATTTCTGTGATGGCAATGTTAAATTTTCAGCAGCCATTACTCAAGTATTCAGTGTCACATGATTCTTCAGAAATCGTTCTAATATGCTGAATTGCTGCTCTATTACTATTGGTGCTCAATTATTAATAATAGTTTCTATTATTATCAATGTTGGAAACATTTTTGCGGCTTAATATTTTTATGGAAACTGTTATATATTTTGTCAGGATTCCTTGATTAAAAGAAAGTTCAAAAGAACAATTTATTTTAGAAATCTTATATAGAAATTTATATAGAAATCTTTTTTAACATGACAAATGTCTTTACTTTTACTTTTGAACAATTTAATGCGTCCTTGCTAAATAAAAGGATCATGGTTTCCATATTAGAATGATTTCTGAAGGATCATGAGACACTGAAGACTGGAGTAATGGCTGCTGAAAAATTTAAAACATTGAACATTTTTTAATTGTGATTACTAATTGTAATTATACTTCACAATATTACTGTTTTTATTGTATTTTTCAAATAAATGCTGCATTTATTGTTTATATTTTAAAAATATATTTATATACTTTATATGTATGAATTTTGTTATTAAAATATTAGTAAATGTAGCTAGTGTGTCCATTGCAATTCGGTACCTTGCCTGTGTCTGGTTCCATATGGAGATCTTTAAAGGAGAGTTGTGATTGGCTAAGCTTGGGCTGAATGAAGTGACTTGCTCTATAAGATCTCCCTGCTTGACACAAACACACACAAAAAGTATACATATGATACAACTGTAATATATCATTATAAAATCTGAATTCTTACCAGATGTAATGTAAAACAAATCACACAAACAAACTGTGTTCTAGGTTACTAAGCTGTTTAAAGTCTGAAAATGGCATTTCATCTATAGGCTTTGAAAAATATAGGGACCGATAGTGACCTTCCTCTAGGAGTCTGGAGAGAGTGGAGGGTCTGAAGCCTGGTGGGATGGCACCCATTGCTGAAAGCACATCAGTAGCATCTATCTGCAGACACAGCACACAAGCACACTTCAGTATGTGAGGGTGTTAGTTAGAAGTGTATGTTAATATGTGTTATAAAAAGTTTTTAAGGATGTAATTATCTAATTAGAATATACCTCAGTAACAGCCTTCCGCACTGTGTTCCAATTGGATGTTTTGCTAGTTGAAAAAGAGACAGTATTAAATAATTTTCTTTAACAAAGGCTGAATATTAACTTACACTTTTGTTTAATTTATTTCAGTTTCAGAAATGACTGAAATTGTGAGCTATATTCACTGCTTTTTAATTAATATAAAAGCACAGACATGCACAAAACAACAAAATATGAAAACAATGCTGCTATCTAGTGGAGAGAGAGGAAATATCACCTGGACTTTATGTCAGACTCCTCCTCTTCTTCTTCTTCACTCTCCCCCTCATCCTCATTCTCTCTCTCACTATCCAGCAGAGAAGCCATCTGAAGACGCACGGTTAAAATACATTTACAGATGTAATTCTTCCATGTTAATTATCTAAACACAGTTTAATGTGTGTATATGACTTTCATGTTATCAAATATTTATATTGTGCATGTAAACGCACTCACTGAGTGTCTGTGATATTATACACACCTTCAGGAATGTTTTGGGCACCAGGCCCTTCTGGCCTTTTGAGTTTTGAGCCAGCCACCATCCATCCTTATTTTTAGAGAGAACTTTCAAAACCTCTCCGAAAACAACCTGAATTCAAGTAATCAATAACTAAAATAAAATGTTAAAACTTGGATGCTGAGGTCCCCTTCTTCCTGTCCCGTAAATGCACTGAGAGCAATGTAAGAGACAGATCCCTGTCCTGTGGCAGTTGGACCAATATCTGCATCTTCATCACCACTGTTAGCATCATCATCATCCTGTACTTCTTCTTCAGCATCTTCATCCTCAGAGCTCTCATCTTGTTCATCACTATTTTCCTCCTCGCTCTCCTGTTCTGTCTGAGATGAGCTAGGTCCAGCCATTCTATGTGGCCAAGGAAAAAATTGGTATCGGCTGATATAAATAATTGTAATTAATCATAATTAATTGTAGCAAATTTGCTCAAAAGGGAAATATATATATAATACATATATATATATATATATATATATATACACACACACACATTTATTTTTTTCAAAAAAAAAATTCATTAAATTAAATTTCAAATACATGTAAATCTGCAATAATAGTTTAATATGTCAGATGACATTTATACAAATACACAGACATAAATAAACAGTACTTTAGATAATTTCTTCAGAGTCTTCATAATTTCCTCCACTGCGCGCTGTAACTCTTTGCACCTGAAATGCGAATGTGTATAGCCCAGGTATGATTGGCTGATGTTATGCCAGCCTGTGAACCTATCAGTGTCCCTACTCCTTTTTGATTGGTTAACATGGTTTAAATCCTATGAACCTATCAGTGTTGGCATTTGATAATATAAAAAGGGAAGGGCTTTCACAACTGTGTTGTGTGAGGTGAAAATCCAAAAGGCCCCCGCTGGCCATTTCTCTCCTACTGGTCATTTCTGTAACTGGTAGATTTGTGTATCTGATTGATTTAAGATTGGTTTTGTACACAGTGTCAAACTAATGTTTCATTTGTGTATAAATAAATGGCTTAATTTTTATACTTTGTCTCGGTCTCCATGCTCACCCTGCCTTTGGCAACGAACCTGTGTGCCCTTGTATAAGGTTATGTCCCGGTATATTCCGGGTGGCATAGTCTATTATAGGATTTGTATCCGTTGTTTTTGGTAATTTCCCCTACCTGACCACTTATTGCCACAGAAACATCATTACAAATCACCGCAAAACACTAGAAGTCAAAGTACGCGCTATTTAACCTAGTTGATGTAGAGACGTTCAAAAACAAAACAGACAGAATTCTTCTTTACCTCTCCAAGGTCTCTGTCCCGTCTGACGCATCTGGTTTAGCAGCCTGCTGCACCAAAACATCCATCTGCAGAATAGTAGGTAACGTTAGAGATGTATTATCAAATCCAGTGCGCACTAGCAAAAGAACAAACATATCATTCAATCAACCTTTCTCTTGATGTCATCCGTCTCTCGTTGGACCGTCTGAAGAGGTCCTCTCCTTTTTGGAGGCATCTTCTATTAGTCTTCAACACAACTCAACAGAAAATGTTATCATACTCGGCATTTTGAATGTGCCACTTGATAAAACATCCCAGTCGTGCTCCGATTTAGCTAAAACAGACTGGATCGGGGGCGCCATGACAGACGCTCCAGAGAAGGTTGCTAAGATACCTTTACGCGACGCTATTATTACATCATCACTGCGCGCGAGAGCCCATAAGTACAATTTGAGCTATGAAAATGTATCTGTGAATTTTTTTCAATCATATGATTTTTTTTTGGTAAATTTCATATGCATAAAAGAAATTTGGCTAATATATACCATATTTTTTGTTTTTATAACTAAATCTTGTTTGAGTCCATTAAATATATTTGTTTAAAAAAAATTCAATGTAGCCTATTTGTTAAGGAGTTAAAGATAACTGAAGATCAAGAAGTGCTGCCACTCATTTATTTTTGTTTGTTATTAATATGTTATGATATATATCTTCCTGCAATGCAGTTTTGTTATGACTGAACCCCATGCATTTCTGTTTTGGGCTGTCACTGTGTAATCTGGTAAAACAGGTTTCTTGGAAAAGTGCTTCTAAGTAAATAAAATATGCATTTATAGAAAAAAATGTCTAAAGCAGCGACCCTAACATATTTAGCAACAAATTATATTCCAGGTTTCTCTTGAGACCCATATTTAAATACACAAATCTGTGAATTCGTTCTGAAATAAAATCTTACAAGCTTGTGGAAAAGTCATGGAAACTTTTATACACAATATACACTATTGTTCACTTTTCAGCTTACTTTTGTTGGCTCAAACTTAAGCTCAATGTCACAACAATGTGCAGATTACTTTTATATTAATGAGTCCACTGTTAATAAAATATTTCAATTTATTTCAAATGACAGAGACAAGGAAAAGCACAGACGTGGTAACATGATTTATGGCTTGAACAAACATTGAAGAAAAAAATATTTTAAATACAACATTCTGCTGAGTGTTTACAGTCTTTGGGAAAGTTGTATTGCTTTGCTCCAGCCTGTAGATTGTGTCTTTGATCCAAGGTTGAAAGCTTGATCCTGCTGAGCGCTGGAGAGGTGCTGATAGACTCCTCATTCTGTTTGTGAAGTCAGGAATACTATATCAGGCCTTGCTGACCGAGGCACTAGAAAGTGAAAGAGCTGGTAAACCTGTTATAGCGTCACACGAAAGCCATTTACTCTAAGGACAATAATGACATTATGAAAGGCACATGTCTCACCAGGTCGGTTGCATGATATTTTGTGTGTCATGACAGGTCTAGCTTCTTCTGTGTTTCTGCGAGCTTGTCTTGTAACCTCTTTTTCCGCCAGTCCAAGAACCTTCTTCGCGTTCTGTTTGCCTGCCAGCCGGCGATAAATCCAGCCGCAAACGAAACGACTAAAGCGACCTATAACGTCCTCTCCGACACATCGGCCATGTTCACCTCCGTTCGGCCACAGCTCGAGTTTAGTAGGAACGCTGCTGGAGGAACCACGGGTGCGAATGGAATCTGTGTCACGTGACTTGGGCGTAACCGGCTGCATGACCGTGACGTCAATTTGTAGGCCAACTAAATAAAGACTACATCTACCACACCGATCTAAATTTACGTGTTTGGTTGTAGGCCTTCTTTAGAAAACACAGCACAGCTGCCACAAAACTCGCGTTTCATGTACGACTGTGCGCCTTTTAAGTTGTAGAACGAAACCACTACCAGTTTTAGCTACTTTCAATTGAAAGCAGTTGGCAACACTGACCACAGACCTTATAACCCATCACTGAAAGTTCAACAGGAAATCCATTGCTTTAAATGCTATTTGTCTTCCGATTTTTAAGACTATAACGAAATATTGGTTAATTTAAAGTACTGTAGAAGTGTAAAAGTTGAATTTGTTGAGCTAGGAAGGGCGCGTTTTATCATTCAATTTGTGTAACGTCTGAGCCTTTGCTTTGTCTGAGGAAAAGAGATAAGAGACATGGCTAGTAGGGGTGAACTGCAAAAGTGAGACAGTTTTTGTGATGGAGGACTGATAAAAATTGAATGTTGTCATCCTTTGTGTGTTTTTGTAATGCCACCACCCCAAAATCTATTGAAACAATATTGGATGCAATTTATATGTTAAAATAATGATAGGCTTTTCAAAATAATTAGGCATAAACGTAAAGTGCTAAAGTTTCTAAAATCAGCAAAAGTTTATAAACAATAAAAAAAATGAAAAAAATGAAACGAGTCATAGCAGATTCAGGTTGGTTTTGGAATATGGTATGTTGTTTGTTGTTGATCCAAGATAGTCTGACAGCTCTAACCAGCTTGATCTCGGTCCGCTTGCTAGATAAGATTGGACCAGCTAAAGACCACAGATAACCAGCATAGTCAAGCTAGAAAATAAAGCCAGGTGCCATCAGAAGTATAACCCAAGCTACCATAGTAGATGTTATGTTTCATTAATTTGTGTCTGCTGAGATCATTTAGATGTTGAAGCATGACCTATGACATTTATTAAAGACTGTTACATTTGTTCTTCTCTTCATATTCAAGACACAATCAATCACAAAACTAATTTGTCTCAATCGCAAACACATTTGTCTTTCCTACTGTTAATTTTCTGGAATATAAAGGCCATTTTTAAGCATCACCTATCAATAGCAAGTTAAACAATGTGCCATTGTACACAGTGCTGGGTAGAAACTGATTACATGTAATCTGGATTATGTAATCAAATAAAAAAAATTAAGTGCTTGTAATTAGATTATATTACTTTTTAAAACTCGTAATTAGATTACATTTACTTTTTTTTACTGATTACACCTATTATTCACACAATAGCAATAAATTATTCACAATTGATTGATTTTCCCTAATTCTTTTTCACCTTTTAAGTTTTCCTTTTTCACCAAATATATTTACTTGAAGTCTTCCTGAGATTTTAAAGGGGTCATATGATGCTGCTAACGTGGCTGACTCTTAACTTTTATAAAGAATATCTCTTTGGATTTGAGACTTTAGTCTTTGCAACTTTACAGATCTTCTTTATGCACCAAGAGCTTGTAACACTCCAAAGAGAAAGGAAAACTTGAAATCGCATCATATGACCCCTTTAAGTTAATATTAAGTAACACATTTACATGTTCACGTTTCTCTGATGTTAATTAGGCCCTAATGGTCACATGACGTGCAGGTAAACAAATATATTTAATCTTTTTTTAGTAAGTGTTTTATTTTGATTGTTGTTATTTTAAAAAGATTTATTTTAGTTTTATATTTTTATGATTTAATTATTAGCTTTTCATTAAACTTGCAAACCCCCCTCAGTTCCTTCATGAAATCCCAGTTTGAGATGCACTTGTTTAATGTTTAATGCACTTCATGTTGTTTATAACAATGAATGGAATACATTTTCTTTGTTTTTGTTTCACTATGGTACAAGATTATCCTATTTAAATCAATGTGATCAACGAGTTAGGTCAAAAGTAATCAAAAAGTATATTATATTACGTATAATAGTCTGATTATATTACCTTAAATGTGTAACGTAATGGATTACGTTACTGATTTTTGTCATGTAATTTGGAATCAGTAACGGACTACAATTTGTAAGTAATCTACCCAGCGCTGATTGTACATCAACTAACATAATTAATTCCATGACATTTATTTATTCTTTAACAACGGCTATTTCTTTTTCGTCTCGTTTATAATTAGTGTTATTAATAGGACGTTTCTGAAGGAATTTCCTCAATGGCTGAAGTCAGCAGATGAGGGGGATTCAAGCCTTTCAGGTTGCTACGCAACAGCCGTCTTCTGTCACGCATGTGCGCGGTGCATAGTGGGAGTATCCGAGCGATGCTGAATCAGTGCAGGAGCGGAGGAGCAGGGGAGGCTGGAAATGGTGCAGTATCAACAAGGGGAAAAGGCGCAGCGGTCGCGCCAACGGAACTATGCGGCTCTCCTTAAACTCTCACTTTGAGATTTTACTCCGTCGACAGAAGAACAGGTTAGTAAACTGGTTTTTGTTCGCCATGTGATTTTTTTAAACAAAGCGCTGCCGTGGCAATCCGCTTGTCCCGTGTATGTTGGCACCTTGTCAATAGTGATGCTGCGCTGGCGCGAGCCGCAGGCTTCCATATATGATGCGCGTGCAGCCAGGTGCCCAACCGGGCACGCGAAAGCAAAATCTGTCACGGTCATGACAAACTATTAAGGCACTTGGGCCTGAGTCAAAAATAGAAACTTACCTATTTGTATATATATTATTCATGGTTAAGGAAAATCATGAATAATTTACATTACATGCCACATAATGCAGCTGAACGTCAACAGCTCACGTGGCCTATCAGGGGGAGTTGTAGTTTTTCAGACGTGACAATATCCAATGCCGTTTATGTCCATTGTCTCATTGATGAACGACATATCCCAAAGTGCTTTTCGCTCCAGGCTCGAGCAGGGGAATGTTCTGCTGATTGTTAGGCATTGCCCCAATGGACGGTGATCAAACGATGGTTTGGGGGCGGGGCTTAGTCTTCAGGGCTGCTCATTGGAGCAGAGCGTGTTTGGGTGGGGTCCGTTCAGACGGGTCCTTTTGGCACTGCGGAGAAAGGATGTGAGGAGACAGCCCACGCAGTCCTGAGCTCTTGACATTTAGTTAAGTCAGAATAATGAAGCTGCTCTCAGCAAATGCTTTATGCAATCAGAATCTCACTATCATTTTGTTAAAGTGTACAAACAGGTGAAAAGCCTGCTGCACGATGCAACTGAGGTTTATTTTTTGGTCCATGCGCTTGATCTAATAAAGTTTTTTTAATAGACAGTGCATGTCGTTTTATTGTACAATACTGTAAAAACACGTTTTCTAAAAATAAAAAGTATGTTTTATACTATATAATTTACATTGGAGATGTATATTATATAAAACAAGGTTATATTCTTGCAGTAACATGTTGTTAAAATTGTGTTTTTATTAGTGAAAAGTAAGAATAGTAAAATAAAGCCAAAAAAAAAAAAAAGTGAAAAGAGATTTACAATCCCAGAGTAATATACATTCTTTGTATAAATGTTTTATCTGACACATATCCACTGTATTCTAAAATAGGGGGAAAATTAGCTCTGATGGTTTATGGCATAATTATGTAAGCTGAGATGCCTTCCTTAGGCTGTCCCGGTTTTTTCAGGGTGTAGAATGAGAGGAGGAATTCCCTGCAATCTCCTGAAATATCTTATGTGTCTCTGCATCAACTCGATGAAGGTGACAGAAGTGTTAAGGCGAGAGTCTTATAATGTGTTTAATCAGTTTTATTAATTAGATCCATTTATAACCCATTGCATTCCTTAGAGAGCAGATTCATTTTAGAAAATGAGAGTGATTGTGCTTTATAACGGTAAACAGAAAGAAATGTTTGAAGTCTTTTAAGGATCTAAGTTAAGCACACACAGAGCCTGCAAATATAGACACACTCATGTGAAAAATTACCTCTTATGTAGGGCTGCACGATCATGACAAAAATCCCTTGAAAATCTAATTGCGATTATTAATTACGATTATCACAATTTACATTGAATGATGTTATATCATTGTTTGAAGCAACCGCATGCCATATTTTTAGATGAAAATAAACAAGCTGAAAACCCTCAAACTGAAAAACCTTTATTGCTTTTCTATAGTATTAAGCCTCAAATGGCATTGGCAATGGATTGGTTTCTTCTTTAAATAAAAAAAGTTAAAATATGCATGGTATTATAATGTCATATTAAAACTAAAATTAAAACAATCGAAAACCCTTAAGATAACACATCTTAAGCACACAGAATAACATAGTGGACTTTGAACTATTAATTGGCGCTTTGAACGATTACATAATTGTGACATCCGTAATTGTAATCGCGATTAGAAATTCAATTAATTGTGCAGCCCTAGTTTCCATTTTACTGAGGTTAATAAGTGACTGTAACATTATGAGAGCATGCTTAAGGGTGTAGTCCAGTTCTGATAGACAAGGACTCTGTGTCTGACCGGCTCTTGTGGATACCTGATACTCTGCAGACATTACAGAAATCTCAAAGAAGCAATAGGAATAGAATCGGAATCTTTTCAGAATTCTGTTTTTGTAAACAGTCTTTTCAGCAATGGTTTAAGACTGTTGAAATGCATGAAATTTATGTCATTTTGGCCACATTTTTGCAGTGGATGCCTTTGTAATGTATGACCAGAAAATGGGATCATTGATTATGGAAAACAGCTTAGCCCCGGATAATGACCTCCAGAGAAACATATGTCTATTCCTTCTGGTATTGTATTCTTCAATCTGATGAACACAATGCTGTTTTTGTTGTCAGTTTGTCACTTGTCTTGTCTTATGTTAGGTTTGTGGATACTTATTTGATGAGCTTAAATACTTCCTTTTTTTTTTCATTCAAGTTGGTTTTCTCAATGTTCATTATTATTTTAGTGGGGTGCCTGTTTTTGAGCTCTTAGAATATGTACATTTTCCAGCAAAGCATTTTTAAGAAATAATTGTTTACGTTAAAAATCTTAAAAATGTAAAACTGTATTTAAACCTGAAAATACTCAGAAAGTAAAAAAAAAAAACATATACAATTATTTAAATAATAATCACATAGGCCTATATTTAAGAATATAAACAATATTTAAGATTCTTCATGATTTCAGTGTAACTAATGTTAACTAATATAAGCAACAGGGAGAACATAAATACAGCATTCTCAAATCCATGCTATTTTTCCATTATATTTTTTGTTCAAATGTTCACTCAAATTAATATTAATAAAGAAAATAATTGTATTTTGACCCCACTTCAGTATCTTAGCATACAAGTTTAGCAGCTGTGTCACACACTGTGTTGCAGGTAAATGGCAGGGTTTGGTAAAGTGCTGGCCAGCCGATGCAGTGCGTAGGGCCAGGTGTCCAAGGCCACGAAAACATGAACGGGGCGGGGGAGCAGGTCGACATCCTGCCCTCCAACTGCTTGGTAAAAGAGCGCTGGAAAGTGGTAAGTGTGTGTCTATATTTAGGTGAGAGTGTGTTAGTGGAATGAAGATGCCCAAATTGTCTGTTGCCTTTGCTGCCTCATCACACAGGACAAAATGGCCCACATATGACAACAGATGCTTTCAAATCAACTCAGTCTGGCTTCTCTCCAAAATGCGCCCAAACCATTTTGTTGTGGGCCAGTTCACAGCATTTCTCCTTCAAGCAGATGTCCTCAGAAATGATTTGTTACTGTTTTACTGTAATGATATCTTTGATGGGGATTGTGGCTTATCCTTAAAATGAGTCTGACTCATTAGTGACTGACTTAAACTTAATTCTTTCATAACTCATGTGATAAAGCATGCTTAAGCCAAGACTAATCAATATGCTTAGTTCATGCTACTAGAACTGAACTGCATGGAATTTAATTAAATCTTTCATGTTAAAATACGCTCAGTTATTAGAGCAGCTAAAGTAACTTTTATTTAAGTAACTATTTGTCCTTTTTAGCTATGGGACTTTCTCGGATCTTAGATGATGTTTATTTATGATGTACAGTACGTTCTTAAAGGTTTATGCTGATTCCTTATTAAGATTCATTATTAAGAAATGTTCACTGAAAGGTTCTTTGAGGATCCCAAAATGGTTTTTCTATGTCATTGCTGCGAAAACCCCCTTTTGGAACCTTTGGAACAATTATATATTGCATGTGGAATAGATGACACAGGTTAAATCAATGCTCTGCCATGACTGACCTTGCTATTGTTTGTGTGTTCAGCTGAAGAAGATTGGGGGTGGAGGATTCGGGGAGATCTATGAGGCCTGTGACCTGTTGACACGGGAGAATGTGGCTCTTAAGGTGGAATCCGCCCAACAGCCAAAACAAGTGCTAAAGATGGAGGTTGCTGTGCTAAAGAAACTACAAGGTGAGGAGATGGAGAGGATGCGAATATATTTTGTGTCGTTTATCATTCTTACAATTCGATTTAAACATTATGTGGTAATATTGTTGCTTCTAAAGTTACTGGCCAGTTTTCGAGATTGTTCTATGTACTTGCCAAAGCTAATTTTTACTCTCATATGTCACTTGACAATATCATTTTGGATTATGTTTATATATATGCTGTTACACTACCATTCAAATGTTTGGGTCAGTAAGATTTTTTTTGTAAGAAATTTTTTATTCAACAAGGATGCATTAAATTGATCAGAAGTGACAATATTTATAATGTTACAAAAAAATTATATTTCAAATAAATGCTGTTCCTTTCAACTTTCTATTCATCAAAGAATCCTGAAAAAATGCAGTCATGGTTTCCAGAAACATATTAAGCAGCACAACTGTTTTCAACATTGATAATAATAATAAAAAAATCAGCACCAAAATCAGCATATTAGAAATTTTTGAATGGTAGTATATAACATAATGAGGCAGCAAGCAGGATGGTGTATGTGTAAGATATGTGATAGTTTATCTGTTAACTAGAGGGACGTTCAGTATGAGCACGACTCTACGGTTGGGGAAACAGATTCTGGAGTCTATTGAAGCCATTCACTCTGTGGGCTTCCTGCACAGAGACATTAAACCTGTATGTCTTAATGTTGATGATATGATCTCTTCTCTTTCCCAATCCAATTACCTGGCTCCTGTCAGCTGATACTGGTTTCTGTCCTATCCTTAGTCTAATTTTGCCATGGGCCGATTGCCGTCTACCTGTAGGAAGTGTTACATGCTGGACTTTGGTTTGGCACGACAGTACACTAATACAAATGGGGAGGTGCGGCCTGTAAGTATTACTTTTGCTTTATTTTCTGATACATTCTTCTTCCTTCTTATATTCTCTCAATTACTATTTCTGTTTGATTTTTTTTCTTTTAATGGAAATAACCCCCCCAAAAAAGCCCAATAAGCAGCATTTTTCACATTTCTGTTTCGTGCATATGCAGTTTTTATATTTACTTGTGATGTTTTATATTTCAAGAGTTATTTCTAGGGGTGCACTGATATAAAATTTCTTATAAATACTTACAAGTCAGTAAGTATATATATATATATATATATATATATATATATGTATATGTGTGTGTTTTATATGCTAAGTAAATTTAGAGATCACATTATAATATAAAATATGAAAATGGAGTTTAATTTTGAGATTTGCTAAAGATCACATTTAACATAGTTATTCAATTTGGTTTTTAAAGACTTTAAGTGAGTATTATGTACAGTAGTGACAAAGGTAATCTAAATGTACAAGCATGGGAAATGAAACCAATTAATAATGGCCAACAACCGATATGGTACCGAAGTATCATGCATCCCTATTTATTTAATTTTTTATTTGCCTTTTACTAATGAATTTCTATAATTTGTGTGTTTGACTTCATTTTTATGTTTCACTTTTCTCAGTTTTGTTTTGCAGTTCTGTTATGGCACTCATGTTGAATCGCATGCTCCCAAAGATGTTTGTCCCTGTTACCATAGCGACAGTCATATTGTGAGTTTTCCAAAATCTTGAAAAGATTCCTTCCTTACCCTCTGAAGGCTCTTAGAAATTACCTTGTCTTCTCTAATGGTTGTGCCCTAAATGCTAAATCCTGAAACACGCCCCCTTTAGACATATCCACACCCCTGCTGTACTGTCTCATACCCACATCCTACATCCTCCTCTATTTAAGAGACTTCCTGTTCGTGTGTTCAATTAATTGTGCTCAATCAGTCTAGGAATCCCAAAAAAGGTCAAAGAATTCCTGTCGCTCCACCCTTCCTTACATTTCCTTCCCATGTTTGCTTTGTTTTGATTCTGCATTTACTTAATCCAACCTAAGTGTTAAAGTATAAAATGAAAGTGATATGAGTTCTTATTATGAGACTCTTAAATGCTGTGCTTTAGCCCAGGACAGTGGCTGGGTTCAGAGGGACAGTACGCTACGCTTCCATTAACGCTCATAAAAACAAGGTAAGTGTAGTCTCAGCTTCAATTCACTGACTGTCTAAAGCATATTACGCACGAAAATTGGTGAGTGCTGGCTGTATTTGCCTGTTTGAATCTGATTTATTGGCTTTAATGAATCTTAAGTGGGTGATTCTTGGCCAGAGTTACCACATTAAGAAATTTTTTTTTTTTAAAGAAGAGTGCAGTTTTTAAATTTTGTTATTGTTCTTAACAGGAAATGGGTCGTCATGATGATTTGTGGTCATTGTTTTATATGCTGGTAGAGTTTACTGTTGGACAGTTACCATGGCGTAAGATAAAAGATAAGGTAAGACACTTGTATCACACTCACATTAACCAGTGATTATGAACATAATGGAACTGTATTGAGTGAATTAATCCTCGTTGTACTCAGTCTTAAGAGTCTTTTGATTTAAATATTTAAGACCTTCAGGGTTGTTTTTGCTGTTAATCGTGTCTGTAATGTGCATCTGATGAACAGGAGCAGGTAGGACAGATTAAAGAGCGCTATGAGCACAGGATGCTGTTGAAACACATGCCTGCTGAGTTTCATATCTTCTATGACCATGTGCTGGATTTAGATTACCACACCAAACCTGATTATCAGGTAAACTATTCAGACACACCTCCAAACACTCACTTCTTCCCACTTTTGTTTTTCAACAAGAATGATTTAACTTGATCAAAAGTGACAGTAAAGACATTTATAATATTGCCAATAATTATTTTTTTTTTACTTCAAATAAATGCATTTCTTTTAAACTTTCATTCATCATAGAATCCTGAAAAGTGTCATGGTTTAATCAAAATTGTTCCATGGTCTGTTGGAATTCTTGATTCTGATTGGCTGGCAGGTATGCATTAAAACCGTTTAATGCACAGGTAGTTCCAAGTCAGTTTAATCACCGTTCTTTATTAATGCGCTGCTTTAATTGACACACACAAATGCACACACACCACTCGCACAGAGAGAGAGAGAGATCAGAGAGCCCGCTGCGCACACAGAAACGTTCAGGAGTAGGCCAATATAAACTTGTCTACGCTGACTTTTATTAATAAAATGGCTTAGATACTGGATCACTGCATTATATTCCTCAGCAACAAGGAGGTAAAATCTCTGTTTAAGTAACTAAACTCATAACTTCATTGTTTGTAGAGAGAGACGCACAGACGCAGGTAATTCACACACACAACTGTCATCTTTCTCTCTCGATCAAACTTCGATAATTAATTTAAATAAATGCTATATTTCATTCAAATAAATGTGATCTAACAGCACTATTTAATCTCTGTGTCTGATTTGAAGCGGGCAAAATGCTAGAGCTAACCAGCTGTAACTGACGAAAATAACCGTCATTTTTACCCATTCGGTCAAATATTGCGCTGCAAAGAGCAATACTAGTTTTAACTTGTCTATAACTTGGCAAATGACCATGGAATAAGCAGTATAATCAACAGCTTGCCGTGCATTAAAGTATTATAAATGCACTTCGCGTCAGGTGGTTCTTGGCCTCCATGTCGTGCATTTCAAATCCTTTAATGCACATTGATTGCCATTGATTATCCCTTACATATTAAGCTACTGTTTTCAACATTGATAATAAGAAATGTTTATTTATGAAGACTGGAGTAATGGCTGGTGAAAATTCAGCTTTGCTATAACAGGAATAAATTCCATTTTACAATATATATATTTTAAATTAATTCTTTTAAATTGCATTAATTCACAATATTACTGTTTTTACTGTTTTTTTTTTAATCAAATAAATGCAGCCTTGTGCATAAAAAACTGTCAAAAACATGAAAAAAGAATGAAAATAAAAATAATATTAAATATTTGCTGAACAGCAATGTATATATTGTAAAATATATATACTTAAAATATACTGTAATATATAAATATACATAACATGTATATAAACATTAAATACAAATGTATTATTTTGTGCAACAATTTTGAGTGGAAAATTAATTTTCTTTCTTTCTTTTTCCTTCCTCTGGTCTAGTTGCTAATGACAGTATTTGAGAACAGCATGAAAGAGAGGGTTATAACAGAAAATGAGCCTTATGACTGGGAAAAATCTGGAACAGATACGGCCCTCCCCACCAGCACACACACGCCACCACAACAAAACACACGGCAAACTGCTGCCATCGTCGGGTAAGAATATGTACACATACACTCTTACAACAGTATCAGACCTTTTGCACAGTGGGAAGGGATTCTGGATTCTGAAGTTACTCTGGAGTGATTTTAAAAGAACTTTGATGTTATGCTGATATGGCTCTGAATTGTCTCTCTCAGGGTGGTGAATGTGACGCCGGTACCTGGTGAATTACCGAGGGAAAACACTGATGATGTTCTGCAAGATGAACACCTGAGTGACCAAGAGAACGCTCCACCTGCTTTGATACCCAGCAGGCCAAGAGAACCTCCTCCAGCCCCACCTGCTGGTGAAGGATGGGATGAAACTGACTTCAACCGTAACAAACTCAGGATCAGCATCAGTAAGGTAGTATTTTTAATGTATTATGCCAAATTAGTCACATTAATTTGAATGTAATTAGTATGGAACATGATTTTAGATCAGTTGAGTGTTTTAATACTGCTTTTCTTCTCAGACACAAGTAGCAGCAGAGGATGGGGAGGAGCCTGCAGGAGGAGGGAGGTCCGTTTCCCCAGCGAGGGGTGGAGAAGCAGAAGCTCAGGCCCGCCCTCCAAGGTACTGGAGAGTCAATAGCCCAGAATCTGACCGCCTGTCTGCTGCAGAGGATAGAGGCGATGCCGCAGATAAACGGTGAGGAGAGCGTGTGCTGGAAAATGTATCACTCTGTTCTTCTGGCTGACATTTAGCTTTTCTAAAGGTCATTTGTCTGCATGTGTCTTGTTAGTGAGGAAAGCATGCAAAAGTGACTTCCTGATAAGAAAGGATGTAAAGTTTTTGTTTTGTACAACAATATTTTGCTCTGACATTTTGGATGGCATCTGTGAATTTAATAAAGGTGAAGTGCATACTGTTCTTATTATGGTAGCATATGGCATTTTTTATGATGAAAATGGTTTGGCATGCTAAAGAAACATTTTATATTGGGAACAGATTAAAATCAAAGACGAAAACAGTTTTTATTGGATATAATGTTGCATGATCTTGAACCATTTTGTTGTTGTTGAAATTTCTGATTATCTAATATTTCATTAATTAAATAATTATTAAATTATCTCTTAGGACTATTAATCAGATCATGATTATTAGTAATTATAAATTAGTAAAGTAATACTTTTGAACTGTAATGTTCCTGTAAATTAAAGTCTAGTTAAATAGTTGCTGTTATCCAGTTTATTCTGTGTCTTAGCCTTTGTGTGTTTTGTGGCAGCTCTCGTTTGGACATGCTGGGTTCTCCATCCAGGCATGTCTACTCTTCCCAGCCTGCTCAAATGCTCTCTTTAGAAGCTGGACAGGGAGAACGATTGGCCGGTGGCCACCATGATGTCTCTGCAGACGGTGACCAGGAAGCCCACAGCAATGCCTTCATCCGCTCAGTGCCGCTGGCTGAGGAGGAGGACTTTGACAGCAGGGAGTGGGTGATGATTGACAAAGAAACAGAGTTGAAAGACTTCCATCCTGGGGCAGAGCCCACCACTTCAGGCACCACGGATGAGGAACCAGAGGAATTACGCCCCCTTGAGGACCACGAGGAGAGGAGAAGGAAAGGACATATGCATGGAATGGGCGGAGCTGAGGCTGTGGTACGACCCAAAACGCAACGTGGGATGATGATGATTGTAGCAGAGGAGGAGGGGGCAGGACCGAGCCCCGCCCATTCACCTTGTCACTCGTTGCCTCATACCTGCCCAAGAAGGAGGGAGTCGGAGCCATTTGGACCTGAAGGACCGGTAAGGCACACCTTAGTGTGTATGTGTGGGCATGTGTGTGTATGGGTTATCCTGATTACTTAATATGTTTGATGATCTTTAGATGATCTTTAGATGACCACACCAGTGGTCTGTGAGTGCATTGTTATCATAAAAGTCAGTGTGAATTTTAATAGGCAATTCATTTTAGTTCTGTAATATCACATTTCTGAGTGAAATAGGACATTCAACAACAAAAAAGGGCCGTAGCAAACTAGATAAAAGGAAGAGCAAATTATCATTTATTACTGATTATTTAGGACTTTTTAGAATAAAAAGCTTAAATAATGTTATAAATAACAAACACAGATGAATAGTTTACAATAAAACCAGAAGCATCAATTAAAGGTGCCATAGAATGGAAAACTGTATTTACCTTGGCATAGTTGAATAATAACAGTTCTGTACATGGAAATGACATACCGTGAGCCTCAAACACCATTGTTTCCTCCTCCTTATGTAAATCTCGTGCATGCAAAAGACCACTGAAAAATAGGCGAATCAGAACATAGCACCGACTGTGACGTTACAGTCGGGATCACTAATAGTTACGCCCACAACATTTGCATATCATGTTCTATGCCAGCCGCCAGCCGAACCTGCACAGCCGAATCATCAGAAGTTCTGCAGGAAATGTGTGTTAAGTACTGCCGCTGTAGTTTACACAGAGCACGTGCAAATCTCGAAAGTGAAAGTAAAAAGCATGCATTCGTATGTAAAACCATTTCAGGAGATTTTTTGCCCTTACCTAAGCCACATACCTTTTATGTAGATATCAGAGAACAATTTAAAATATTGTATCAATGCATTCTATGGCACCTTTAAGAAAGTAAATATGGTCAATTCTGATTTCATGTTGACTTTAGACTTCTTTCTTCTAAGTGCGCAACACCGTGTCTAATTTACGTCTGTACACTGGCATAGATTTAATTGTTGCAAAGATGTTATATGTTGATGACTGAATTACTGTTTTTGTGTTGTTTTTTTCATCTATGTGAACAAACACATAGATGACTTTTTCTATGCTACAGTTCAAAATTTTGAAAAGAAAGACGCTTACTAAGGCTGTTTATTTAATCAAAAATGTGTAAAAACGGTAATATTACAATTTTAAATAACTGTTTTCTAACTGTTTGCTGTAATATATTTTAAAAGGAAATTTATTCCTGTGATGGCAAAGCTGAATTTTCAGTAGCTATTACTCCAGTCTTCAGTGTCACATGAGCCTTCAGAAATCAATCTAATATGCTGATTTAGTGCTCAAGAAGTAATAAAATGCTGCATTTTTAAAAAATCATACTGACCTCAAACTTTTGAACGGTAGTGTACATTTTTAACATTTCAAGTTGTATTAGTGAATAAATGGAGCAAGAGTATTGTTGTTCATATACCTAATGCATTGACTAATTTTAACAAATTGAACCTTACTTAAATAAGATTAAGTTTATGACTACTAGCATTTGTTCCAAGCTGCTATTATATTTTTACATAATGACATCAGTACAAGAAAGGCTCATTTAAGCATCTGATAACTTGTAATGCAAGATAATTAACATATGTTGTTTGTATATAAGTGTTTGTTTGTATGCACCCTTGATGTACAGTATGTGTGTTATGTAAACTTGTGCATTTGTGTTGAGCTGCATGTTTAGGGTTTTGTGGTTGTGTGTGTGTGTGTGTGTGTGTGTGTGTGTGTGTTTGTGCACGTCACACTCAATTCACAGCCAAGCTTAGTTTGCTCATTGGTCATACACGGGTCTGTGTGCACACGTTGGCTCCTTCACAACATATAGAACATACATTCACCCGTACATAAGCTAAAACAAGCCTGTCTTTAGTGTCAGACAGATGTGGGCTGGTCTTGTCCTCTGAACGAGTTACAGCACATCTATGTGTTTGTACCACCCATTTGATATAATGTTTTGTTTATCTCTTGTTTTTTATTGGTGTGTTTTTGTGTGTGCATCACACACAATCTTAGACAAAAAAAACACGCTTTTTTCAATACTTCGCGTTTAAGTTTTTTCCTCAGCCTGATTCCTCTTTTCCTCCGCTCTTATTGGTCTTTTTCAGTTGGAGGAGGACAGGCCACACCCACATCACTCATTCCCGAGGCCTGCCCATTTGAGAAGACTGGCGTCGTACGTGTTTTCCTCCGCTACCATGGACACGGAGCCCTTCCCCCACGACCTCGGGGGAGCGGCCATTCAGCGCAGCCGCTCGGCTGAAAGCAGCCCCGCCCACCGCCACGCCCATCGCAGACACATGCCCCTGTTGCCAGGCAACCCCAGAGCTCGGCATTCTGTACTAAACCTCCCACGCCTACACATTCAGCAAATGCTGGCCAAACTTATGAACAAGACATGATTCCCCCACCATCAGCGTACACAGACGCATATGTGTGATGCCGTTTAATAGAAGGGGAGCACGAGTGCACACTTTTGTGCCCATAGATGAACAAAGTTTAGTATGGGCAATAAACTTGGGTCTGTGATTGTGAGATTTGTGTGTGTGTGTGTGTGTGTGTGTGTGTGTGTAAGCGAGATATGAGATGCCCTCCAGCTAAAGTGACATTTTTTTTTATTCGATATTTGATATTAAAGGGATACTTAACCTTAAAAAATCTGTCATCATTTATTCACCCTCATGTCATTTTATTCCTTATGACTTTTGTGGAACAGTAAAGAAGGTATTTTGAAAAATGTCCTTTTTTTGTCTAAAAATCTGTGTTGTTCTGGACCACACTGACTTCAAAATATCTTCTTTTATGTTCCACAGAAGAAAGAAATTCATACAGGTTTGGAACGACATGATGACAATTGTCATTTTTGGGTGAATTTTCCCTTTAAGCACTTGGGATGATTGGAGAAAGATAAATTATATTGTATTCTCCAAAACAAAGAAATTCTGTACAATGCTGTATGATGTATTTACTCATAGAGACACTGTACATTACATTTTATTTATTTATTTTCATATTATTATTATTATTATTTTTTTTTTGGTAAAAAAACAAGCACAAAAAAACAAACACCAAGACAAAAACACATTTTTACCTCCATCAGGGGTGTTTCATGCAGAGCTGCTGGTGTCTGGTGGGGCAGGCACTTTGACTAAAGTGACGAGAATATCGTTTTTTTTTTTTATGCTTAGGCCTCTTAGATTCCCATCAGCACTGTCATCTTCTGTGTAAGAGGACAGTTGTGATGCAGGCTGGATAGTGTGATTATGTTTTCAGGGTTGAATGTCATTGAATTACAATGAATTTTGGCCTAAAGCAGATACTTAAAAAGGCTGTGTTCGCCTGCTGAGTGTTAGTAGAGGACACTAGAAGGACAGTGAGTGCGTGCTAAGCTATTTTTTGCACAGTCTATTCGCATCAATACGATCTCAGCACATATAGAACCTGTCAAATACCACAACGCACACCTCCAGGCGGGATATATGGCTTTCTTAAGCTAACATGATATTGTGAACTGATGGATCTCTTTATATAGATTCTTATAGGCATCTTTTGTAGCCGAGAGAGAGCATGTCATTAGCCATATACAGTGTGTGAATCCTCACAGGGTTTGTACCTGTAAAATAATCTAGTTGCTTGGTACTAGCTTGGTTCCTCTGGCATTTCATGGAGAGTATTGTTGCTGTATAGAAGAGAAAATCAGTAAGCAAAGACAGATAGAATAAGTTGTGTGTACACATGTCCAAGGTGTGAGTATTAGGCCTGTATTAAATGTTCTGCATAACTAAAAGTATGTAGACACACATTTCTATTTAATGAATTTGGCTGTTTCAGCTACATCCTTTACTAACAGGAGCAGAAAATCAACTATACAGCCATATACAGCCTCCTTAGACATTTTTTAGGTGAATGGCCTTGGTTTAAAAAAATATATGCTTAACAAATGAATGTGAGGTTGGTGTGTCTTTACATACTTTTGGCCATGTAGATTAATTGTGGTATCACTTTTGTCTTCCATATAAGCTATAAAAATATATTTAAAGATAATTTTCTTTACCATAATAATTATTATCTTTCAGTATTACAAAAACATATGCATATTGCTTTCTGATGATATTAGGTTCCATGTGAACAGTGAGCAGTGTTTATCTGACGGCAAGAACGTCATAAACACAACATCCTAGATGTCAAGACGTTTGTCTAATAGGGAGTTGAAAATCGATTAAAGTTCTGGAATAGAGATATATTAAATAAATTATTATATATTGAAGTGCAATAGAGCTTAAGGCAATAGGTGTGTAAAAGGAAGACTGAGCCTCTTTCTTTGGTTTTGTCACACATGCATTAGTGGTTTGATACACATATGCAGATATTTGAACTTGACTATAGCTTATCATTCAGCAAATGAATGTTGCCATATTGTGTTCCTGGCCATAGACTTCACATGCTACTTCAGTGTTTAAAATCATGCATAAATAAGCTTTTGAATGCAGAAGTGCAGCGTCGTTGTCATAGAAATTAGATTACACATTGTGTCATAACCAGGCATAATGCAATAATCTGACATGCGTTTTTGTGCTAATCAACAGTAGCCACAACATTTTTTAGATTACGTAGTTTTTATTTCTAGTCCAAAATCATGCTTCACATAACTGTACATTAGACTTCCTATGTTCTGAGCTGTGTTATTTTAGTATTTATATACTATTATAGTAATTTTTAGTGTTTAGAATCAGCTTTGATTTTATATTATCAGTTTTAATTTTAGTTTTTTGTTTTATTTTTATTTTAATGTTTTAATTTGGCTTTAATTTTGATTCCAGATTTAATCATGTTAGTACTTTAAATTTAACTCATTTTTTTCATTTATTTGTCAAGGTAACATTTCTAACTTGGGTTTAAATTTAAGTTTCTCATCTAATATTTATATTGTGTTTTATTTCAGCTTCATTTCAATTTACCAAAAATGTTTTAGTTTTACTCAATTACAATACTGGCTCTGATTGGCTGATTGTGTCACATTTTCATGGACAGACAGTTTGGTTGTGCCGGGTTGGGACAGTGTTAGATACATCCTATGAAACATAAAGTAGCATTAACGCATTGAAATATTTGCTTTATCTGTATTTTAAAGTCCTCCAGCTTCAGTTCAGTTGAGATATATACATATCTGTGGGAGGAAATTAAGATTGATTGTTTGTAGGTGTATTCATTTTTCACCTGAAATTCATGCTGTAAAAATGCTATATGACTCAAGACTGGATATCAGTGCATATGCGAATCTTGTTGAAAGTGCAGAGTTTCTTCTTAAACTATAATTTGCCTCGCTGGGCCAACTGCAACAAACTCTGAGTGGTGAAAAACACATATATGAATACAAAAATACATTATTTCATACTGGGTTTGAACTCATAGCAGTTGGCTCCTGGTATCTGTGCTGCTTTGGGTGTTTTAATGCAATTCACACCAGTCACCGTTTATCTGGAATAACCAATGTACTGTAACGTGTATGTTCAGAAGAGTTTGTAGTCTGAACTGTGTGAGACAGCTGATCCAAATGTCTTCCTAACGGAGAAGATGAGTACAGACTGAATGACCGTACATAGAGACACAAAAGCTTGGCTGTAACTGTAATTTTTGTTTGGCTGTATTTTTGTTTTTATGCAGGATAATACTAAGCAAATAGATTTCTGCCTCCCAAAGATTGTTAATTGCTGTGGTCATATCACATACACTACCATACAAAATTTTGGGGTCTGTGATATTTTTTCTCTTATGCTCACTAAGGACTCATATTGTGAAATATGATTACAATTTAAAATAACTTTTTTCTATTTGAATAAATTGTAAAATGTTATTTATTCCTGTGATGGCAAAGCTGAATTTTTAGCAGCCATTACTCCAGTCTTCAGTGTCACACGATGCTTCAGAAATTATTCTGATATGCTGATTTGGTCTTCAAGGGTTTTCTTCTTCTTCTTATTATTATTATTATTATTTTAAAAACAGTTAGGCATGCTTAATATTTAGTCTGAACTGTGTGAGACAGCTGATCCAAATGTCTTCCTAACGGAGAAGATGAGTACAGACTGAATGACCGTACATAGAGACACAAAAGCTTGGCTGTAACTGTAATTTTTGTTTGGCTGTATTTTTGTTTTTATGCAGGATAATACTAAGCAAATAGATTTCTGCCTCCCAAAGATTGTTAATTGCTGTGGTCATATCACATACACTACCATACAAAATTTTGGGGTCTGTGATATTTTTTCTCTTATGCTCACTAAGGACTCATATTGTGAAATATGATTACAATTTAAAATAACTTTTTTCTATTTGAATAAATTGTAAAATGTTATTTATTCCTGTGATGGCAAAGCTGAATTTTTAGCAGCCATTACTCCAGTCTTCAGTGTCACACGATGCTTCAGAAATTATTCTGATATGCTGATTTGGTCTTCAAGGGTTTTCTTCTTCTTCTTCTTCTTATTTTAAAAACAGTTAGGCATGCTTAATATTTTTGTGGAAACCGTGACCTGCGATTTTTTTTGATGAATAGAAAGTTGAAAAACTAATTTTTAAATATAAACCTTTTAAAACATTATTAATGTCTTTAAAGACATTGTAAATGTCTTTACTGTAACTTTTGATCAATTTAATACATCCTTGCTGAATAAAAATATAGATTTTTTTTTTTAATATATCTTACTGACCCCAAAATTTTGAAAAGTAGTGTATATACACATTCTGTCACATTCAAATCTTAAAAAGACAAATATCTTTTCATTGGTATATTTAAATTTTGAAAATTTCTAATGAAGAGAATAATTTCCGAGGAAATGTAGTGTTTCCAAGCTGGTGAAGATTAAAACAGTGCCAGTTTGCATAATGTGAGGTAACGTGTTCAGATAGTTTGAGGAAGGTTAGAGGAAGTTTAACAAATGTCTTCTCTGCTTTACTGAGAGATTGTTCCATGTAGTACCATATTTTATGCTAAATTCAATATTCACTCAAGCCGAATAGCTTTTCAGCTTTATGCCATTCAACATTCTTTACCTCTCACATTATCTGTCTCTAACCTGGTCAAATTTGAGCTTGTCAGAACTGCCCAGAGACAAACCTTGAGTGTACAACAGCGTTTAGCAACATCTGTTTGGGTAGAATTTTTTTTAAATGTATTCTTTTATGTATTTAATAATGTATTGAGAAAAGCCTAAAACCATGAAGGTGGCTTCTCACAGATCAGTATTGTTATGAATCAATTTTAAGGAATTTTATGAGTCAAAATTTATATCATACGCTGGACTTTTTATTGCTGAAAAATGTTACTCATCAGCTGATCCCAGACCTGCTCATATAAGCATTACATGTGTGAATCAGGGTCAACCTTCAACAGCAAGAGTATTTCACGAAATAGCTAGTGCAATAAACACCATAGGGACTGTATAGTAGACTTGTAATATGTACAAGCATGTATTTTAGGCTTTTGTAAAATTGCAAGTCTTTGAACAGATTGCTGTACTACTGACACATTCCTCTTTCTCATCGCTCTTGTGTGTCCACTGCTGTACATACTGTTGGCTGAGCACTGTCTTTGAGTCTACACGAACTCGCAAAAGCCGACAACAACAGCTGGCTCGTCTCGTCCTGGAGCGTAAACAAACCCACCTGATTCGTTCTCACTCCGCCTCCTCGCACTCCCCAACACTCTCAACCACTGCATCTGAAGATGAAACCCACCAATCAGACGACTCGGCGAAAGGAGAGAGAGGAGCAGATGGGAGGATTAGGAGCAGGATCCCTCGTCCAGTCACACCTATCAGGGGGTCATCTGACCAACTAGGGGGTACGACCCTTCAACAAACCCAGAGATCTGTGTCTTTCATTCAATACAGGTGTTTGGAGCAGAATTTCAACTTAAATGTTATTCATTTGAATCTGCACTTCCAGTCAAAAGTTTGGACTCACTGAATTTATGTTTCTTATGATTTTTTTTTTTAATATATATATTTATATATTTATATTTATTATTTTTTAGGAAGCCAGACTGTTTGAATATAATAATAATAATAATTATCATTATTATTATTATTCTATATTATTAATATTCTTGTTTATCTGTAAGACAGAAATGCATGTTGAATTCACAGGACATGCAAAGATAGAGTGTGCAGCATTTTCTGTGAATGGCTCCATTTTGAGAAACTGAAAACGCCGGATCATGAGGCCCTCATGTGGAAATTAACACAGTGCTGCACTTCACTCTGAAACATGCTCAATTACTTATTTATGCTCTAATACGTATTTAATTAAACCATATAAATTTAGTTTTTTTTTTGTTCAACTGACATATATATGTTTTGTGAACATTTGGGTGTTCATTATAACATTTTCTTGCTGTAAAATTGTGAATATTGAATGGTCTACCTCAGATTTTGCTTGGCACCATTACTAAAATATATAAAGAAAATCATACAGACTGTCCTGTAATACCTCTGATTGATATGACTCATTCTTTCCTCTCGCCAACAGAACCAAGAGTTCTGTCAATCCCAGGATTCAAAAGTCTACAAGTCTGCACACAAATATCCATCAGCAGCCACCTAAACCTCAGCTCCGTCCCTCTAAAACACTTCCACCCCATCCTCCATCTTCAGGCCCCTCCCACTCACAGGGAAGTCGGACCGCCACACGTACCATTACTCGTACCTCAGCACTTAATGCCACCCGGAGCATCAGCACCTCTCCTCGGAGCTACGACACCTCTCGCACTGACAGCCCTTCGCCTCAACGCATTCGCCGACAGCCTGCAGCCAATGAAACGCAACGAAAGCCCAAACCTTTTTGCCCGTCGCAGTCCAAATCCAAACCTCAGGATTCCACCCCCAAAAAGAGCAACACCCACCCATCAGCCTCATCGCAAACGGCAAAGAAAGATTCAATGGAATCAAAGACTAAAACAAGATAATTAAGACATTTCTGCAGGTGATCTTCATCCTCAGCATCATCATCACAATCACTCTTTGAATCATCAGTGTTGGACTGTACTTCTCATTAAACACAACAAACTCAACCAAACAATCTGGATGGACGTGTTCGTTATCCAGCCAAGTGACTGCAGCAGCTACAAAATACCTCTAATGAGGAGAAACTCTGACATTTACACACACACAGAGAGTTGTCTTTAATGAAGTGTGTTGGACAGATGAACACACCTCATATGCCTTAAACCTGCAAAGGAAATAATTGCTGCCATCACAACAAAGCTTCCACAGACTCTACCCTCCTGTTCACGGCACAAATGCCACTATCATGTTCAATAATACAACCAATCTCATTGTACACATTAGAATCGGATTCTACTGCAACTTTAAAGCTTTTAAATACATTACACTACATGCTATTTATTTGAATTGAATATCACTTCCAAAACACATTTTTGACCAACATCACAATATCAGAATCGGGGAAAAATAGCTTTATCGAAACTTACAAAAACCGAATATGTTTCAAAAGTCCCAAATGTACTGATTACTCAACTAGCTGGCGTTTGGGACAGACTTTTTCTATCAACTTCTGCCGTCAATTTGTGTGTGCTAAAATTTGTATTTATCTCAAAAAATAATAATAATAGTCATTTGCACCAAAACTCTGTGGTTCTGTGCAGAACATGCAGGAAAGAAACCATAAGACTGGTATAAATACCTAAATTGAATCTCTACACAGAACTAAAATGACTAACGTTGCTGCTACAGTTTGATGTCAATCATACAATCATCTTGGCCCCACCTACTGTCTCTGATTGGGTCAATCCATCCGTGACACTCATCTGCTAAATTTATTTGTAACCGGATCCCAGACCAGCGGCATGCATTTGGAAATGCTTGTCCGCTTCTGTTTATTGTCTTTTGCATAACTGTAGATAATGTAAGCAGTACTTTTGAAAAACAAATTTATATTTTTGTCCCAAAAAACAACGTAGTCTACAAAAAAGATTAATGGATAAAATAGGACTAACTTAGTTGCATTTGTCTCAGTCTCAGGCTGAAAATGCACCATTCTGATCTGTATGCAAACTTTACAGTTCAAAGAATGCTTGAGGAAGCTGAATGAAGGTCGAAGAGAACATGAAAGCTTCTCAAAAATCTGACACACCAAGGAGAATAAAGCAGCAGGAACCAATAATGTGTGTTAAAGCAGCATGTCTGCGGTTTGTAACTGTACTCTAGGATGTTATTTTTATGCAGTACTGCTATTACTGAGTGTCCACAGCATGTGTTCAAAAGCTGGTAATCCGACATGGACTTCAAATGACTAAGGTGCTATCAAAGAGTTTCTTCATGCCTGCTCTAGTCATTGGTGTTTTTTTCTGTCCTGTGCTTGGATTAAAACCCGAACATCCATGAAGATTGTCAAATCAACGGAAGAGAAAAATGTCCTTAGTGCACACTAGCCAGTGTTATTTGTGAGTTAACTTAAAGAGAGTGCTTCATTTGGACCATGTCCAGTGCAGAACCATTGCATGCTGTTGTTTGGATGAAATCACAGGAAAATACTCTCTGTGGTATTTTCCAGAATGTTCCATTTGCGGAGAACCCCGAAGACTCTGCTCTTAATACCGACAAGATTCGAGGAAGGACACCTCCTCCTGGTTGGTCATCTCTCTTCAGTGTGTTGCTTTGAGAGAGAATTTGCATGAATATGCTTCATGAATCTTGATTGACTAACTTATACTACGGAGCAACCTTTCTGAGTTATACAATTAAACATTATTGAAAATGATCAAGGATGCCATTCAATAAACGCAAATTCCATCACTGTTTTGGATGATGGTTTGTGTCTTTCTTTCCAGAAAAACTCAGTGGATGTTCTGCATAGGGAATCTGCATGTCCTGGCTGTGGTGAAAGTGAGAGGAATTAAGTATCATCTGTATAAAAATGGAGCAATAACAGAGAAGCTAGAACACTATGTAATCACATCATCTTAGATCTTAGTGTCCTTCAGACTAATTCAGGGATAACTTGTTAAAGCTGGATGTTTCTGTTACCCATGCGACCCTAAAGGTCATTAATAATTGTGGGAATACGATAGCAACTTCTAGAAATGTACTGCAGTTCAAAAGTTTGGGGTTGGTGAGATTTTAAAAGTTTTTTTTTTAACTCATTCTTATGCTTACCAAGACTATATTTATTTGATCAGAAACACTGTGAAAACAGTAACCGTTCTTTATTTTAATATTTAAAAATGTAATTTTTTCCTGTGATGGCAAAGCTGAATTTTCAGCCGTCATTACTCCGGTGTTCAATCTCTCATGATCCTTCAGAAATCATTCTTTGGTGCTGAAGAAACATGTATTGTTGCCATCAATGCTGAAAAAGTTGTGCTGCTTAATATTTTTGTGGAAGAAGAATAGAACGTTTAAAAAGAACAGCACTTACTTGAAATAAAAATCTTTTGTAACATTAGAAATATCCTTACTTAACTTTTTTTTTAAATTTCTCTTAAAAAAAAATAATAATAAAATTACGGTCTGCAAACTTTTGCACGGTACTGTATGTGTAGATATTGATCCAACAAACTGCATGCATTTTTTTTATTTGGGCCAGGTGCCAAAAATAACAAAGCTAAGAACACAATGTAATCACACTTGATCTTTGTGTCCGTCAGACTGCTTCAGGATAAAGGGCAGAAATTAGTTGGGCCTATTCTTTTAACAGTCAGAACACTCAGTCCAGCCCGGGGTCGTCACATGTGGTTGCCGCAAGCCCGACGGCCGCTCCTTCGTCGAATCGAATCTGTAGTTATGTGCACAGAACACCTCAGCCTCTCTCCCTGGACTGCAGTTCTGTGGGTTCTTTTGTACTCCAGCTAACGAGCTTGAACAGGAGTCACTCATGAGCCTGTCAAGCTGCTGCTGCAAGAGAGGGGAGCACAGTATACACACACACAGGAAACACAATTGTTAGGCCCCGTCCATACAGAGACACGTTTAGCTGTATACGCATACATTTTGTATAGTATAGGCGTTTCGTCGAGATGGTCCTCACTGCAGAACACAAGATCCAGGGGGCGAGGTTGGATCCAGATCCAACTCCTCCCACCTTACATATACCTAAACCTACCCGTCTCCACCCCCTGATCCCTAAACCCACCCATCTCCACCCCTAAACCTACCATCTCCTCACCCTAGATGTGGATCCAACCCCACCCCCTGGATCTTTGTTCTGCAGTGAGGGGATACTGGTTTCGTCCACACGGATCCTGCGTTTTGGGAGAGTGAAACCGATATTTTTTGAAACCGGGTCCCAGAGTGGATAAATCTGAAAATGCCGCCCTTTCGTTTTCGTGTGGACAGCGAAGCCAACGATGACGTCATCAGCCCACGTCTCGCCCCTAGTCAGACACCGCTACGTCACGTAACAGCAACAAAAACATGAACAAACACTGAACGATTGTCTTTTTATTAACTAACATTAACACAGATTAATAAATGTATTGTTCCATGTTGTGTTCATGTTTTTTCTCAGCTGGAAAGATTTCTCTCTCTCTCTCTCTCTCTCTAATGCTGCCGTGAATTAGGGGAGGTTTTTACTAAAGTTTTCTTTATCTATTTTCCTAAATATAAGCATTCCACAAGGGAGACCCTTGTATTAGTGAATTTTGTTTTTGGCCAAGCAAAGTTGGCTATTTGGCTGTCACGGAAAAATAAGATTGTTGGAATGGGACAGACTGATGTTACTTAGATTTTTAGGGGTTTGATAAAATCACGTTTAAAGGTTGAATTTACTTTTTACTATTTAATAATGGATATGGAGACCTTTAAATACAGGTGGGGCATTAATAACTGCATATGTGAAGTTGATTGTGTTGGATCTCTGAACATTTTTGTATGAAAATTATTATATGATGTGTTTATTGTTTTTTTTTGTTTGTTTTTTTTTGATACGGAAATATGATGTTTTCTTTTGGGTTGTTATTTTTTCAGATTTTTTTACTTTTCCTATTTTTTTATACTTGTACATTTTGACTTATATATATATATATAAAAAACGGATTAATGTTTTCTGGTGATTAAAGAGATGTTAAAAGTCTCTCTCTCTCTCTTTCTTTTGTTCCTCTCACACACCAGTCAGTAAATTCAACAATAATAAAACTCACTTGTAGTACTGAGTACATCCATGAGCCTCAGCACTTCTCCCAGATAATGTAATTTGTCCTAAATGACCTCCAAGAGCCTTTGTACCTTTCGTCGTCAGATTATATCCTATATATTTCTGTTCTAGCTCTGTTCTAAACAAGCTGTCAATCCCATTGTGAATGACATAATCGATTTTTAAACTATATGCATTTAATGTTTTGTATTTTACACTTTACTTCTATACTGTACACAATTAGTATAATTTTATTAAAAATAGCTTTTAATATTAATATATCTTTCCATCATCATTTAATGATGTCATTAACATCACTTCATTCTCCATTTTCTTTCAAGTTTGTAATAAAAAGTTTGTAATTTCTGAGCTGGTTATAACTAAAAATTCTTAAAATCATTAAAACCTATTTCTACTGTGAAGAAAGAATGATTGGTTTGATACTGAATACAAACTCAACTGGTTCAACAACAAAGTTTTGTTTGTGCACTGTAAGAATAAAACACAAAACACAGAAAAACAGATAACGTCTTGGCATTTTCCATTAAATTTACGGACATTTCCTTCAACCCTAAAACACTACCTCCAATGCGGAATTCAAAACACAGGTAAAACGTGTAAAAAAGAAAGAAAAAAAATACAGAAAATTGTCTTTAAGTTTTCCAAACTACAAACATTGTGTAAATCACACAGGTCACAGTTAAATGTAGCATGCACTGCCCTTTTATCAGAATTTATGTGGACCCCAAGTAGTTCAGTTTTTAACCCACCTGGTTTATTGAAAGTCCAGACAGAATCAGGGTTCAGGCACAGCAGCAGATTTTGACTGGCGCCGGTGTGTTTCCAGCACCTACAATGAATTAAGTGTGCTCTTAGTGTCTGTATAAGGAAATACACATATGTGAATGATCGGGTTAATAAAATGCAAATTAATGCACAGACTTTAAAACGTCAGGCATCATAAACTTGGCTAAAAAAATCGTCTGTGACCATCATAAACTACATGTATGCACTATTTTCAAAAGGTAACTTAAATGTGCAGCAAAATCCATCGCAACAAAAACTTAATTATTTAATGTAACATGATTAAAATACAGCTAGATTTAAACATCCAGTAATGTTTGATAACTTACAGAGAAAATGTAGTGGTGTTTTTCTTTCAATTAAAAGAACCAAAGACTTAAACTACTTCAGTCTGTGTGCACTGAATTTATTTAATACACGAGTTTCACAATTTGAGTTGAATTACTGAAATAAATGAACTTTTCCACGACATTCTAATTTATTGAGATGCACCTGTATACGCAACCGGTACGTACTGAGGGCGTGGTTTAGCGCGCGAGAGAAAATAATGCCGTCATCATCAGAAAACGTGCTGATAATATTTTTTAAATGTATGGTTTGACTTAACTCAATTTTATAAGTTGGCAGGAGTTTCTTTGGATGAACTTGCAAAGCGCTGTTCAGAGAACTCATCTTTTTAAGTTTATGGAAAAAAACTTGGTTTAAGCTGAATAAATGTATTAAACTTAGTTGTACTGACTTTTTAATGGATTTTTGCTTACCCAACACAACAAAACCAGTCATTTAAACTTTTTTCAAGTTGGGTTTTTTACAGCGGTGGCTAATAGCCAATGGAAAGGCAGAAACAGCATACAAATATCTGCAAAAATATGCTACTTTTAATGAGAGACGAGACTTTACATCTAGAGTCAAACTGTAAAAAAAAAAGTAAACAGGATCTTATTTGCCATCTATGTTTGCCATCATTTAAATATTTGCAAAGAACTCAATTTCAGCAATGGTTTACAACACCTTTCTTCCTGTTTCCATCACAGGCTTTGTCCACTGTAACTAAACTGTGGATCACCATGTTCACAGTTACACTTACTTATTGACCTATTCAAACCCCCACAGCTGAGGAGACTCACACTTTTCACCGGCATTGTGTGGTAGGTATTTGTGTGTATACTAATTTGAGTATTTTATGTTCACAGAAAGTGCCTCTATTTACTGAATATGTGGAAGCAACGACCCATTCACTCTCCTTTTTTTTGTAGGTACGGAGTTGCATCTACATACGGCATAGGCCTAAACATTACTGGCTTTGGGCTTGACCTGACACATTTTATTTATGCAGCCATAGAAGTGCCAGCGAAAATCCTCATCTACTTTAGTCTCAATAAGATTGGCCGTAGAATCACTCAGACCGGGACACTGGTGCTCACAGGACTCTGCATACTGTGACGGTTTCAGTGAGTAACCGGTTATTTCTGAGTTGCAGGTGATTGGCTGAGGGGAGTGGTTGTACACCTGAATGTAATCATGGCGCTCTATAAAAGACTGGGACAGAGATGGCGAGGGAGACGTGAGCGTGGGCTGAGCTTGTGCGGAACCTGGGCCGTCTTTGTTTGCGCTGTACTTTGGGTTACTTATGAGGCTACCGGAGGACTGATGATATGGGAGGGATACGGGAGATCACCGCCGCCTTTGATCCATCTCCTTTGGGGACGGTTGCTGTTCTTGGAGGTTCCGTGGACTAGGTTTGGTTGGATTGCTGTCTTGCATGATTACTACACACTTGCATGTATCTGCTGACGCACTGATTACCATTTATATTTACTTTCCATGTTCTGTTTTCCATAGGCAAATAAATTCACTTAATAATTAGCTGTGGTGTGGTGACTCCCTTATTTTGTTGCGATTCAAAAAGAGATCGTAACAGTACTCATCAACATCATCACACCTACATGTTTGTAGATCAAATCTGTTATTTCAATTTCTAACAAAGCAGCCCTTTAGTTTCGAGTGCACTTTTAAATCAATGGTTCTCAACCAAAAAAAGTTTGTGGTTCTGACAGGGACAAGGCCAGCAGGAAAAAACAATGCTAAAAGCAAATTATTAAACGCAAATTACTATATAATTTGCATAGTTAGGGTAGAAAAATAAGTGCATCAGCTTTTACAATTTTATTTTTGGACCTGTTCAATTCATGGTAATATTAATAAATATAGTGATATTTTATTTTTAAGGACAAGTTGATACTGTTTTGACACTGATGGTTAGGTTTAGGGGTGGAGCTTCATAATTTTTTTTTTTTTTAGAAAAATTGTATGATTTGGTATGAATCACTTTGTACAATTTCATATTAAATCAGCACACTGTAAAAGTTATGTTTTCTCATGAGATCGAGTTGCAACCACTGCTTTGCCCTTGTTTTTCTAAATGGCATGTATGACATGTGATTTGGTTATGTGGTGATTTTCTCTGACCTCTTCTGTGTGAATGTGTCTGGGTTTAGAATACTGGACGTTTCGCACTGTGATCGCAGTGTTGGGTAAAGGACTTTCTGAGGCTTTGTTCACAACTGTGTTCTTATACACCACTGAGCTCTATCCTACAGTCATGAGGTTAGTGTCTGCCATGTTCCTTTTCAGTTATTAAGCTCACTCGGTTTCAAAAATGCTTCCGTTCTCTCTCCTTCACGTATAGGCAGAATGGGCTTGGCTACACCAGTTTTATGGCACGTTTGGGGGCATCATTTCTCTTATGCTCTTAGAAGATGTGGAAGCTCCTCCCAGAGGTAATTTTCTGCATGCTGGCCATCTTTTCTGGTCTCATAGCTTGGCTTCTTCCTGAAACCAACAACGCAAGATTACCAGAAACCATAGAAGATATCGAAGAGATGAGGTATAAGAAAAAATGACAAAATACAAGAAAATGTCTTGAATGCACTTTGCAATTGTTCTTTGTTCTTTAGTTTTTCGTTTTCTTTTTGGAAACATCAACTTTTATACCTGACACAAAACCGCAGTTATTTGGTTTGTCTTTTACTTTAACAATTTCTTTACCTCTTACAGAAAAAAACCTATTTGTTTCACAGAGGATCAGAGTAACGTCCCTTTAAAATTGCCCATCTCTACAGACACAACGCAGTGATCTGCAAATCACTTCACAAGCACAAAAATCCTTCATCCTGCCATAGTGACAATTCTCATAAGCTGTACTTGACATCAGATCCTGCCTTAAGTATATAACCAACAAAGTTCTTGAGTCATGGAGTCTTTCCCCCGGTTTTACAGACAAGGTAAATTACTTAAATGTCCTAATTGAACTATGGCCTAATTCTGGCTTAGTCTAAGCCCTGTCTGTGAAACCAGGCCTTAGTGTACTGATTTACTTGCTTTCTTAGGATTAAATAAATCTAGATTCAGTCTTTTTGCTCATGTAACCGAATACATTTAGTTAATCTCTATAATTAATCTCACTGTGTTTTTTCCTGCACGCAGCACCATGGACAGCACTAGCTTTAGTAACTGGGCTCTGTTTGACAGCACCCTGGACAGCTCCACATTACCTGAGTTTGTTCTCTGTTAATGAGCTGTGGAAGGCTTCTCCCATGATTGACGACAAACAGTATATCCCACGTTCTCTTCAAAATATTTTGACCACAAATATGATTATAAAATGAGTAACTCTGACTTAACTCTATTTGATTGGATGAGTCATATTGTAAGTTATTATACAGACTGAACACGGCTATCCAATCCGTGACATTAGTTAAAATCATACTCATTCTGACAAAATGAATGTGACATGTTTTTGTTTTTAATTTAATTTTGTAACCAGTTTTGCTTATCTAAACTTTATACCAAGTGATTCTGCGGTAAATACCGAATATTAGAGAGAAGGCTTGAATGTAAGCAGACAGACTATTTGTGACCCTGGACCACAAAACTGCGTCTTAAGTCGCTTGGGTGTATTTTCAGCAAAATAAAACAACATTTGTATGGGTCAAATCTTTTTTTTATTTTTTATGCCAAAAATCATTAGGATATTAAGTAAAGATCCATGTTCCATGAAGATATTTTGTAAGTTTCCTATCATAAATATATCAAACCTTAATTTGATTAGTAATATGCATTGCTAAGAACAATTGCGATTTTTCTCAGTATTTTTATTTTTTGCACCCTCAGATTCCAGATTTTCAAATAGTTGTATCTCGGCCAAATATTGTCCTGTCCTAACAAACCATACATCAATGGAAAGCTTATTTATTCAGATTTCAGATGTATAAATCTTAATTTAAAAAAATGGACCCTTATGACTGGTTTTGTGGCCCAGGGTCACATTTGTGTTCAACAAGTTTGCTGGCCAGCGATGCATTCCGTATGCAGTTTTATATATAGTAGTTTAAATAGATGCTAGCAGTGAGAGAGGAAAGTGTTTCACTTTCCTACAATACCTACAGCTTTCGGTGTTTAAAAAGCTTTATTTGACCTGGACATAATCGATGCAAGTTTCTGTTGCTACATGTTCGGTCCTTCTAATAATGGTACCATGCTACAGAAATTTTAGATGGCAGTAGTTACAGACTTTGGAGAAAGAGTAGTTATTCTTTAAGTGAGACTCCACAGCTTTAACTCCTTCCAGTCTGCAGTTTTGCAAAGAGATCAAATTGATTTAAATGGTGCTACATTAAATTAATGCTTTTATTCAGTAAGGATGCATTAAATTGTTCAAAAGTGACAGTAAAGACTTCTATTTGGTATATAAAAAAATTATATATATTTAAAATAATTGCTGTTCTTTTGAACTTTCTATTAATCAAATAATCTTGATATTAATTTTATCATGGTTTCCATGAAAATGTTAAGCTGCACAACTGTTTTTTAACATTGATAATACAAGAACAACAAATCAAAAAAGTATTAGAATGATTTCTGAAGGATCATGTGACAGTTATTTTAAATTGTAATAATTCAACCTTTTAGTTCAAAATATAATATTATATATATTTTCTAATATACTGTAAGTATTTTAGAGACCTGCTTTGTCCCCAGTTTGACTATGTATTGTCCAACACTGCTGTCATTTATTAAGCAGGAAGTTATATGATATACAAATGACTTGCAGAAGGTCAGGCCTCCACTATGGTTTCAACACTCTCTGTGTTAGATGTTAATTTACTAAAAGAAAACACGTATGTACAGTCTTTCAGTGCAAAGTGTCTGTCCATGCCTATTTATGAATTATATCGACTGTTTTCTTCAGTGGATTTATGTTACTTTAAGTGTGTGAAATTACATATTGTCAACATACTTTATTTGTGTGTGTGTTCGTGTTTGTATTTGAGAAAAAGAGATGAAAGAGAAAAAAAATATGTATTTCATGTCAGTATATGAGAGGTTAATGATCTACATAATTCAAGTTTATTTGTACAGCGATTTTCACTATACAAATCATTGCAAAGCAACTTTACAGCAAATTAAGTTTCTACAATATTTAGTGGTAGCTCATCAGTGGTGACTGTCAGTTAATGTACATATGGCAGAAATGTACGGAAAAATCAATTAAAGACGTAATCAAACAGACGATGAACACTATTAACAGCAATTATTATTTGATGCAATCAAACTTATAGCAAAATGTGGTAGTTCTGTATGTTGTTTCAGGGTTGGCATCATCTGAGGTCCTCTGAGCATAAGAGCAGTGAATGTGTAAGTAGACTTATGATTGGACCAACTCAAGTCTATATCGAAAGATTTGATCAGCAAAGATGAAGTTTGAGAACCTGTTTGCTGAGGTTGGGGGGTTTGGGAAATACCGGATCAGTATAATCGCCCTTTTGGTGATTCCGAGAGTCACGCTGCCGTTTCACTTCCTGTTAAACAACTTCATCGCAGCCATCCTATCTCATCATTGTGATATCAGCTCTCTGGATGCTGACGGGATCCTTGGGAATCTTGGGTCAAGAAGAGAGACTGGCTGCGTCCGAAATGGCATACTTCCCTACTATATAGTAGGGAAAAAGAGTATGTGAACGGATTAGTATGTCCGAAACCGCATTATTCATAAAAGAGTAGGCGAGAAATCCCCGGATGTCCTACTGCTTCTACCCAGATTCTGAAGTGTTCATCGATGGACATTCTTTTCAATCCCAGGAGTCCACGGGAGATCAATACGTCATCCTCGAACGTGACGGAGAACAGCGACGAGGGTGGTTACAAATGTGAGTAATACAAACCAAAAACATGGTTCCTTGTGTTAAAATCATATTTGTTGAGCTACTGTATAGTAAACTGTTGATTTGCTTAAGGTGTAAGACGCTAGACAGTAACGTTACAGTATATTTGTGATTTATTTTTTCTGTAAAAACACGATTTATTATGTATAGCGAACAGCGGAGCTCCAGTAAGCACACACACGCCACCAAAGTGAAGGTACATAAACCTTATACATCTTAAAGACGATTAAATGTCTATTTAATATGAGACCGGAAAATGTTCTAAAAGAACTGCAGATGAGCACATCGCAACGTGAAACAGACATCTGAGTGAGTGATGTATGTGCACTATTATGTCGAATTCACTGTCAATACTGCTTTAGATGAATGTAAGTAATGTAAATAAACAAATCTACATAGAATAACTAAACAAGTTATCTATGTCATTTGTCCATTAGTACTACTGATAAATTGAGGAACATTTGTGTTGGGTAAAAAGTGAGTTAACACATTAGCAACTACCTCGACATGTAAATGCAGTATTGAGCAGATAAATCACAGTGTTAGATAAAAAGCGAGTTAACACAAGATGTAAATGCAGTATTGAGCACATAAATCACAGAGGTGACTTGACTCTTGTCTGGATGTTACAGGGACAGATGAGACACATGAGTGTTATCCGGTGCAGAGTGACTGATGAAGCAATGCTGAATGCTTTGTGAGTACACTATAGTAATGAATAAAACATATTTTAAATCTTAAGTTGTAGTTTATTTTAATTATTGTTATTTTAAACCGTTATTACAGCACTTTTCTGATTCTTGATATATGTGCATTTGATACAGAGCTTTTGTGGTGGAGCAGGTGACAGCAGCATTTGTGGAAAAAAGGGAAAACCTGAAACAAAAATATAAAGTAAAATCAAATAACATTGTGCTGTTAAAATGACTGCTTTTGTATTGTGTTTGTGCATCTTTGCAGGATCTGAAATGTCTGCAGACTGGTGTGAGCTGTGAGATGCATTATTTCAGCATTCTAGAAATGGTCCAGTGCCATGAATGAGACGTACCATCACTCCACCTCTTACTGCCTCATCAGGACCGGATGTTGCTGTGGTCTCTTCGTCCTCAGTGAGCCCAGAGCCAGCGAGAGCATCTAGAAAAAGACCAAAAGACTATGAGGATGTGATTTTGGTCAAGTTTGTTCTGCTGGTTTCTGTTCAAACAACATCAGTCAATGAAACCCTAGTTTCAGAAGCTTCAAAAGAATCCTCAAATAATGTAATGAAGCTTCTGAAAGTCAGGTTCCATTGACTGATATTGTATGAACACAAACCAGCAGGACAAACTTGACCAAAATCACCTTTTGTGTTCAGAAAAAAACAAAAACACACACAAGGATTGAACAGTGTGGAGGCGAGTAAATGATGACTGAATTTATGTTTAGATGAACTAACCCTTTAAAGCCCCAAATAGAAATTGTATGAAATATATGTAAGCATTTATATTATAGTAGTACCTTGAAGAAATAAACTTTAAGAAATAAGCAGCTTTATTGAGCGTTTGTGCCCAAGACACAAAAAAGCATTTACAAAAATCACATTTACATTTATTCATTTGGCAGAGACTTTTATTCGAAGTGACTTACAGTGCTCTTATTACAGGGACCCCAATCCCTCTGCAGCAACCTGGAGTAAAGACACACCGTTGGTGACGACTGCAGAGATCGAACCAGCAACCTTCTGCTTACCAGTCCAGTTCACTACACCACAGAAGTAATTAAGCTATATCAAAAATTAGCATGCAATTGTAAACATATGAAATTAAATTTAGCAAGAAATGGAATGCTGACAACATGAGATATAAAGCGTTTTACTCTGTGTAAATGTTTTACAGGTAGTGGTGCTCATGGAGAGCAGTACACAAATGTTTGGAGCAGACACCGTAGCAGTCAGATTGTCCCACACATGTTCTCCTGCTGTTGTTCAAGATTGTGTGGCTCAGGGGCGTCATCATGGTCTTCCTCATCCTCTCTCTCATCCTCTCTGTGCACTCAGGCAATGATAGCCTCGATGTCCCTTTTCCATCCATGATCAGATTCCAGTCTGACTGCAGCAATGAAGGTCGTGATGGACGGCAGAGACGGGTGAAGGTGGGCACGGTTCATCAGAATAAAGCTGCAGAATTGGCACAGCTGTGTTGAGATGGCAGTAGATGTGGGTTCACCGCCTGTAAATACATGATTGTCAGAACAATGTTTGAATAAAGCTTTGTTTCATGTGTCGTTGACTTGTATTTATTTATTGTCATTACTTTTATTTATTCTTTTACTCATTTATTCATGTTTCCTGTTGTTGTCAGTAAATAAAATATAGTTTGATTGTTTCATTAACATATGCATTAATTCATTACTTGACTGAAAATTGAGATGTATTCACCTTGGCTGCATTTGTCTTGTGTGAAGTCATGCATAGCTATGGCATATGACAAAACAAATTACAATTAATATGAAAAGCCAACTAAATGGCCAAGTATAAAATAAAATACTTGCTTAATAAAGTGGCTAAGTTAAAAATAAAATTTCCTGTGGATCTTGAGATATTAATCGCATTTTAGTCATGCATTTCAGTCATGGCTCAGGTGATGTCTCTGGTCCTGTCTTTAGATTTGTGGCTGGCCCATACCGTCATTTCTGTGCTGGGTAAAGGTTTCTCAGAGG